AATTACATTTGTTTCCAATTTGAAAATTTCAAAACAACTTTTAAACATTTTTTAAAGAACATTGTTTTAATTTTCAATTGATTTTATTTTATTTTTGGTTTCGGTATAATGGTTTTAATTATTATTTTTAATAATTTTTATTTAATTTTGCCTGCATTTTTTGAATCCTATTTTAATTTAATTACAATTTTTTTTAATTAATTGCAACACACTTTTCTTTTGTCACATAACTGTAGAAATTGTTTGTGTTGTTTTGCAGAAAAGATAATCAAATTTAAATTTATTTTTAAGTTTTTAATAATTTTATTAATTTTTGTTTTATAAATTTGCCTGCTTTTTAAGAATTTTAATTATAAGTAAGTTAACATTGATTGAACTATTGGGTTGTTCGGAAAGTAATTTTTTTTTTTTTACCACTAGATGGATTTGTCATATTTTTTCCGCCATTTTCATTCTAAACCATATTATCATTATATATTTTGACAGCTAGCATTTTAAGGCTTATTTGTAAAAAATTTTGTTTGATTTTGTGCAATTGTTTATTTTTTGTGTTCCACCAAATGCAGAAGATTGAAAGCAGCATTTTCAGCATATTTTGCTCTTTTATTACCGAAAAGGTAAGAATGCTGTTCAAGCGAGAAAAAAATTGTGTGATGTGTATGGAGATGTGTTGACAGAACGACAGTGCCAAAACTGGTTTACAAAATTTCATTCTGGCAATTTCAATATTGAAGATGCACCATGTTCTGGATGGCCAGTTGAAGCCAATGAAAACAAAATAAAGGTACTAATTGAAGCAAACTGCCAAATAACAGCATGTGGAATCACTAAGGCCGAGACTCCACTAACATAAAAAGGGCGTAAAACCCCTTGCCGTAAAAGCTTTCAATCACGTGACCCTGATATTTTATGCCTGAGCAGGTTATAAAACCAGCGTAAAAGTGAGTTGAGCAGTGTTCAACTCACTTTTACGCTGGTTTTACGACCTGCTCAGGCGTAAAATATCAGGGTCACGTGATTGAAAGCTTTTATCTCTTAGGCTGAGACTCCACTACTGTAAAAACAGCGTAAAACCCCATTTTTACTGTAGTGGAGTCTCGGCCTAAGAGATTAAATTAGTCAAATTGAACTGTTTATGATTATTTGAAACAAATTGGTTTCATTTCAAAGCTTGATATATGGGTTCTACATGTTCTTAAAGAGAGATGCTCTCTTTGGTGGGATTTTAAAGAAATTTTTTTTTTTTGAGCTTTTACCAGACAATTTAACAATTGATTCAAAAGTGTACTGACATCAAGTAAATAAATTGAGTAATATCATCAAACAGAAAAGGACAAAATTGATAAAAAAAACAGGTGTAGTGTTTTACCATGGTAATGCCAAATTTCTCACAAGTTTGGTAACTTGTCAGAAACTGTTATAACTTAGATGGAACGTGCTATCGCACCAACCATATTCGCCAGATCGAGCACACTCAGATTATTACTTGTTCCGGTCTATACAAATTTTTTTTAACTGTAAGACATTTACTTGAAATGACAATGTCAAAAATCATTTGGATCAGTTTTTTGTAAGCAATGATCAAAACTTTTATGAATGTGAAATCATGCTACTACCAGAAATGATGACGACAGGTATTTGACCAAAATGGTCGATATATAATTTAATAAAATATTTATTTATTATAAAAATATTGTTTTTTTTTTCCACGGAAAAAAAACGAAATTACTTTCTGAACAACCCAATAGTTTCAAATCAAGCTCAGCATTCAGCAAAATTATTTAAGTGTGAGGAAAACAGTTTAAAATGTAAACAAAATTTTATTTTAATTGAAAAATAATATATAAAATTTTTAATATTCAGTATGTTTACTTACAATGATAAAATTTTTTTTATAATTATGAATGTTTTTTGTAATGATTCACAGATGATGCTGTAATACATTAAATTTTTAAATGTAATTTGTGTGATTCTGGATAAAAATACTTGTTTCACTAAGTTTAATGCTATTTTGAGTTTTAAAAATTGATTTTTCAAAATGAGTCAGTCTATAGACATTCATGGCTTGAGTGAATGAATTCAAAAATTGGTTAACTCATGACAATGATATTTGTTTGAGTCATTGCATCATTTGTCAAACTTCATTTAGTATTAAATGCAATGGAATTAAATCATTTGTGAGACATGCTCATTGTGAGAAGCATGAAAAAAAGTACATCTTATATACCTTTCCTTCCCTCGGTCATTGTGCTGCCCATCGAAGCAGTTTCCAAAGATGGCAACTCTATATTACATGATTACATGATGGGATAGCTCTTTGAGTAAAAGGGCTGTCATTTCTTTGAAGGTAGTGTTGCACCTTTAATTTTATCCAAAATCAGATTACAAATTTATTTTGTAGTAGTACAATAAAAGCATGCATATCCACACAAATGGAGAATTTTCAGATTTTTTTTGAAAGATTGATTCTGGATTTACCAGTCATTTTCCATTCTTAAGCTTGATGTTTGTTAATTGATGTAATGTAAATCATTAATTTTTCTAAACCTGATTTACATGAATATTTTATTCTCTTTTATAAAACTACTAATTAACTATAATAAGAATGTGTGAATGAGGAAAAAAAATTAACATAAAAAAATAAACATAAATTAAAAATTAAGAGTCCATAAAATCAAGTTGCCAAATAGCCAAGGCAGTTAAGGTGCCAGCCTATTGCTCTGGGAGACCCAGGATCAAATCCAGACAGGTCAAAAAATTCCAGGTATATTTTTTGGGGTGATCTATCTTAGATACTATAATTTTCCTCTAATGAGAAATATTTACTTAACTAATGAATTAATGTATAACTCCTCAATGTGGAAGTAAGAAATATTTAAAATCAGAAGTGAAGAAAAAGATCATATATAACTAATCAAAACTTTTTTGAAAATTTTGGTATTATCTCAAACTTTGGCATATTATAAGATATACATAAAAGTTAATTACCAAATTAAGTAGTTTCAACTATTTCCATTTAAGAACAGCTTTCATAGGATATTTTAACAAAATGTTTTTTGAAATGTGTAATATACTGAGGAAGAATTCTTACTGATTATCTTCTTAAGTTTATGTAATGTGATGCATATATAATGAAAGATATTAATTCATCAAACTTTTGTTTATTAATAATAAATTTTGCCATTATTGTAATAAGGTGTGTTGCAAAAATATAAGATTACCCAATTTTTTTGGAATAACAAATTTTTATTACATTTAAACAAAAAATTAACAACAGGAATAAGTGTAGATATAAAAGAATTACTTATTCTATTTACAAGCAAAAATAAAAATATAGTTTTTTAATTCAAAAAATCAAAAATAATGTTTCAAAAATATAAGGCCAGTGGCATTTAATAGCCAGTGAAACCACCATTTTTCAAAATAACCTTGTAAACTCTATTTTTCCCTATTAAATTGATTTTTCAGCTTTGAGTTCTTCAATACTTGAGGAATTGTTTTCTTCCTACATACATATCTCTACAACTCCACCATACCTTTAAAATGCAGTCTATTTTACACCTATCGAACATTTTCGGTCAGATTCACAGACCTTCTTCAGGATCGAACTATCAGATTTAAAATTTGCAAAACGGAAATTTCAAACTGCACGTTCTATAATCTTCTCAATTGCGCATGCTCATTATTATAATTTAAACGTTGCCGCTTTCCATGCCGATGCTATTTTGTTTGATTCACAGAAATTTATATTTCCGTGAATCAAACAATATACGTATCTCTAGCTATTAGACTTCATAGATTTTCTATTGGGTTCAAATTATGGGTATAGGGAAGCCAATCCATGACTTAAATATCTTTATCCAGTAACCACTGATAAGTGAAGTTTGCATTGTGAATTAGCTCATTATCTTGTTGCAATTGCCAGAATGGATCACAATCTTTTCTCCAAATGGAAGAAGATATATACATCCTTGTGGTTTTGATACCCAACTGCCTTCATTCAGCCATTTATGAATGCTAAATTGATTTTTCTGGACCATCTAAAACCTGCCCAGATCATAACTGATCCCTTTCTTGCTGACACTTGGCAAACAAAAACTTCTCTCCCCTAAGATTATGCCAATAAAATTACCAGCTGTCAGGACCATCCAAATTGAATGGTTTTTTTTATTAGTCCAAATAACTTCACACCATTTTGAAGTGTATGACATTTTATCTTTGGTCCATATCAGTCTTTTTTGTTGGTGGTGGTGTTTTAGATATGGTGCTGTTTTTCTATTCATATACACTAGATGTTTTGTTGATTTTACCATCTGGGAAAGTGTGGATTTGTGAACATTAATATTAGGCCTGTGCGCTGTTTCACCTAATGATATTCCTGTTGTTATTTCCCAAATAATTGCTGATTTCTGTTTCCTTGTCAATTTGGCAGGCCATCCAAGTTTGTTTTTTGTTTCCATATTGCACACTAAATTTAATAAAATGGCTACAACACAGTGAGATCTCTTCAGCTGCTTCGTAATAGCTCTAGCAGAACTTCCAGCCTGATGGAGGGCCCTGATTCATCCACACTGAAAGGCAGTTTAGGATTTGCTTCTACCCATTGTTAAAATTAGTCATTAATGGTGGTTATAAATTCAATTATGCTGTATTGACAATTATGAATTGCTGCCATCTCATTATAATTATTAAATTGTAGGTGATAGTGAGTATTTTTTGATAAATTGCTCAAAAATGTAACTGGTCTTATATTTTTGCAACACCATTATTTTTGGTTTTTTGAATTAAAAAATTGTATTTTCATTTTTAGTTTTGATTGTAAATAGAATAAGTAATTATTTTACATCTACACTTATTCTTGTCACTAGTTTTTGTTTAAGTGTAATGAAAAATTTATTATTTAAAAAAATTGAGATGGCCTTATATTTTTGCAATGCACCTTATACACTAAATAGATTTAAATGAGTTATACACACACCTGAAATTTTTTGTTGTTTTAGTGCCATGCGGAAATTTCGTGATATGGATAAGCGTGCCATTGTGGAAAACAGTACAGATACTTTACTAGATACTATCCATCAAAATGCTATCTCACATATGACCATCCATACAGGGACCAAATCTGCTGTTAGTAAATTTTGTACTTCAGGAATGGATGGTAAAATGGTAATCTGGGATATAAAGGTTAGTAATGCTTATAGTTAATCAAAATTTATTTAAGTTAATATGTAAAATTTTAGTATATGATAAAGCTTTAGGTCATACAGTTTATTTCTTCATATGTACAATAATAAGCAGGTTGATAATCAAAAAATGTTCAGATTTATAAAAAGGTACATATTATTATAGACAATACGTGAATGATAGTCTTTTACATTATAATGATGTAATAAATGAAGATGAAATACTTAAGTTAGTTAATTCTATAGATCTAAATTTACAGTTTGAATATGAAAAAGAAGAGAATAATAGTTTATCATTTTTAGTTATTGTGTTATATAAAGGAAATAATAGTATAAAAATAAAAAGTATAAAACAAACCTTCAAATATCAACATAGTAATAGACTTTCATTACTATACAGTATACCCTAATTATATAAAATATAATACATTAAGTTTTCTATTTTATTTTGTAAAAAGGGCTGCAAAATTACAATTTAATAAAATTAAAAATTAGGTAACAGATACTAAAAATATTTTCACTTATTGCCATGTCCAATCACTAGGAACAACCATTCTTCATCACAGAGATGAGAGGCTAAGCCTCTGCAAAATTATATAAAACAGTTTAAAAGTCCACAGGTGACAATCCCAACACAATAAAAAAGTAAACTTTTACAAAAGAAATGTTAAATGTTTTACACAATTTTGCAGAGGTGTAGCTTCTAAAGAAAGGTTGTCTCTGCAATGAAGAATGGTTGTTCCTGGTGATTGGACATGTGATAAGTGAAGATATTTTTAATACGTTACAAAATTTTTAATTTTATTAAATTATAATATGTTAAGTGTTTATTGAAAAAATTATAAATAGAACAACAGAAGAAAATTACCAAATAGTTGAAATTAAAGATGTAATACAGAAGTATTTGTTAAAAAAATTATTCAATGATCTATTACAAAAATGGTTAAATAAAAATATGAATAGTAATACAGTGTATAGAAAAAGAACAGAAAACAATGGTAATTAATAAAAATTTTGAATATAATCGNATTTTAGTCTATATAAATTAAAAAATATTTAAAAATTGCAGCCCGGCATTGTGACGATGTTTACAAAATAATTGCTCGTTAACAATAGAAACGTTCAATATCAACGAAATAATTAATAGAATAATTTGTCTACTCAAAATTAAGATTGAATCCTGAAGTTTAATATAGGCAAGTATAAAAATTTGACTAGTATAATTGTCATCTTTGCATGGATAGGATTGAACGTAAATAAAGGGGCACTAATTAGGGGGGTTGTTTTTCCCGAAATTTTAGTGGAACCAAACTATTTTCTGCTAAAGCACACAAGTACCAGATTTTAATTTGCTATTTTGTACTAATATTTTTTCAACCTTTTTCTTTCTATTTGATTTTTCCCCCTTGCTTTGCCCGAATTTGGGGACAGTTGCCCTTCCTGTACCCCGACTTGTATACCCATGAATAAGAGAAGCCGAATGGACCCGATAGCCAGTAATTCTACATGACTTTTAAGTATAAATTGAATAAATTAAATTATAAATCAATGAATTCAATATTAAATATCTATTATATATAAGGGTGTCCTGTTCATTCAAAGAGCGTAGGAAAATCCAATACGAATTTTAAATGCCAAAATAGTTTTTATAATTAAAAAAAAAACAGAGAATAGAAAATATAACAAGAAATCAAACCAATAAAATAGTCGGATTAACACTTGTTGACGCCTTAAGCGATAACATATTTGGAGAGGAAGGTCTTAATTCTTAAAATGTGAGGCCTTAATTCTTAAAATGTGAGGTCTTAAAGTTTTTTGCGTGAAATCCTAAGCTGTAGTTAGTTTAGCGTACGAGTAAATACTTTAGAAGAACAATATGAACAGTTAAGTGATTTTTTTTACACAGACAAATTTTATTTTTTAGCTGTACTGTAGTGGGTATTTAATGTTGTTGTGTGAATGTTTTGTAATCTTTTGGACTTCTCAAAAGGAATGAATTGCACCGCAGACATCGAAGTAATAGAACCATCGAAAGACACAATCAGCTGTTTAGCGTTTACTCCCATACAAACGCAGAATTTCTTAGTTTCTGGAAGTTGGGATAACGAAGTAAGTTTTAATTACAAAACGTCAATAGAACATGGTATTGAATTTAAAAATTTTTTCAAAAATTTAATGAGCAGTTGCGATGTTGGGAGATTCGTGACGATGGTTTGTCAGTTCCTAAAGCCATTCAGTTTCATCAAAAACCAGTTTTGGATATAACGTGGAGTTCGGTAAGTCGATGAAGAGTTACTCACATTGCTAAATAGGGTGGTCCAAAAGTCAGTTAACCAAGATACGTGTTTTTTATACCCATTGTGGGTTCGACCAGGTTCACAGTGGGGTGGATACAAGACCGTGCGGTAGATTTTCTAAGTATGATGCAAGTCTTCGAAATGCCGCCCCTTATATATATTATTAGTCTTATATAGGTTATAATTCTTATTATTTGGTGTATCTTACCAGGGCCGTGCGGTAGATTTTCTAAGTATGATGCAAGTCTTTGAAATTCTACCCCTTAAATGTTTTTTATGTCGCCTTATGCGGCCGCATCTCTGCATCATAGCACGGCACGGCCCTGCCGACATATGTGGGAGATCGCCCATAAAAAATTCTTGGGAATTGCTGACCTGGATTAAAATTCCGAATCCCTCAAAGCTTTAGGTTAGGTTAGGTTGACGTCTTAACCGCTTCGGTAATACGATCGTCCCGTCGCTCATACTGTTATTTCTGGATCACGAATTTCGGTTAAAGTTTTGGGCCAATCTGATTTTCTGGCATAAATAATTTATTAGAAGAGAAAACTAGAATGGATGTTTTACTGTTCTTAAATATACATGCTAACACTTAAAAATCTTAGGATGGAACCAAACTATTTTCTGCTTCGTGTGACAAAACTGTAAACATGTGGGACTTGAACACTAATAAGTTAATTCGTATTGGTCAAGTGAGTCTATTCCATCCGTCCATTATTATTATTATTATTATTATTACTTTAATGAGAAATTTCGGGAAATTTTCAGCACAAATCTCCTGTCAAGACCGTTGACTTCATCACTTCGTCTCGTTATTCGTGTATTATGACAGGAAGTTGGGACAGAACTTTGAAGTTTTGGGATGCGAAGAGTCCGAATCCAATTCACAATATCGATCTTCCAGAGAGATGTTACTGTGCCTTTGTTGTGAGCATTTTGTATTTGGTATAATGAATTGTTTATGGAAAAGTTTGGCACTCTGGGGAGGGCCGAGGTTAAGTCCGGGGGAAATTTTTGGGGGTGGTGTGACTGGACATATTCTGTTCCCGCCTCACATCACCCAGCCGTTTCCATTGTGTCAATCATGGCACTAAAAAGACCCTCCTAGTACTAATGGTGCATCATTTTATAAGCAAAAATGGCAATTGCCCTTGACCCCCTCTTGGTGGGGCCCAAACCAAACTTTTATTATCTCATTACTGTAGTAAAAATATCAAAATTTAAATTTGGACCACGTCTGGGACTGTAGTTTTCCGGTGTGGCGCAAGCGCAGGGTCCACTATCGCAGCACAACTTAACCCACCAGAAGTTTAAAAAATAACGAGGATACTGGGAGATTCCCCAAAATTTCCCCCAAAGAAAAATGAAGTCAACACTGTACATGGGGGCCCCTAATTTAAATTTGTTTGGGCCCCATGAAGCTATAACGCGTCACTACTTAAAGCCTACAGGGCAAAAAGAGTTAAAAATAAATATATTAGTGATTTCATTATTTTATTTATGTCACTACAAATATTTCGAAGGGACATATACATATATATCAAAGTTGTATATAATTATATTTGTTAATATCAATGCTGGGAGTAGGATTCGATGCGAATTATGCGAAACTTTCTCCATTTCTAGAAAAATAAAATATTTACTTGAGACATCCAAATTGTCTTAAATAAATAGGGAATTTTCCTAATTAAAACAGAAGTATCCAATGGCCGTGGTTGGGCTGGCGGGAAGAACGATAATTGTATACGATTTGGAAGGAGGTTTCAAAGAATACAAACGAATGGAATCCCCTTTGCCGTGTCAGGTAATCTCAACGCATCCTTCTAAATTCGTTCCAGCGAACCCCAAAAAAATATTAATGACTTTTTTTTAGATTCGCTGTCTTATCGGTTTCATTAAAAATAATAAAGCTAATGTGATCGTGGGAGGTGAAATCGGTGCCATCGCTGTACAATGCGTAAACGCAGACAATTGTGGAGAGAACTTTTATTTCAGATGTCATAGACGTGAATTCTGTAACATGGTCGATGTTTATCCGGTACGAAAATTGTTTCGTTAATTCTAATTATTTTATATGCGATAAAGTAATAAGTGTTTGCGAAACCACTAGATAAACGGATTGGCTTTGCATCCATTTCACGATATTCTAGCATCAGTCGGTTCCGATGGCAGATACGTCTTTTGGGATTTGAATGCTCGATGCGCTTTACGAACATCGAATTTTTTCGATCAGTCACTGACCAGTTGTTGTTTCAATTCGAAAGGAGACATATTTGCATATTCTTTAGGATACGATTGGTCTAAGGTGAGTGCTTTTCGTTATCACATTATCTGTACGCGCGTGTTATCACGTTAATTAAGCGTATTCATTTTTATAGGGTCACGAATACAATAACAATCGTCGTTCTCGTATCTATTTACACCGAGCCACTCAAGTTCCTTTATCTGGAATTAAAATCTGATTTGTTACTGAAGAGTTTTCAAATCTTTTCCGGAAAATGTTATTTCGTTGCCAGAAATTATATACATATATGGATGGTAAAATGGTAATCTGGGATATATATATATAAATGAATGTATGTCTGTCTGTCCTTCATACATTACTACACCATTTATCCAATTGCCATGAAACTTTGGGAAGTTGTTTAATATACTCCCGTGAAGGTTTCTGGCATAGTACATTTATCCTATGATAGGCACACGTGTATACGAGCATTTCAGCATGGTTAGGAGTTGAAACTTGAAATTTGGTACACAGTTAGGGTACGTCACGAGAACGCACACTAACAAGGGATTTTTTGAAATCTCTCTCTCCCGCAGGGAAAGGGACAGGATTAAGGCTTCAACAATGGAAGTGTTAAGAGACAGCAACATGCAAGATTTACAGGTGCAGATGTGGTTTTTTGCAGTAAATCTAACATAATTTTAGACCCATCTAAAAATTTTCTAATTGGTCTGGAAACGGGAACCTAATTCTTGCATTTTGTGAAAACGAGTAAGATTGGCTGTAATGTAATAATCTTAATCTTTGCTATCATTACTTTTTGCTCAAGCAACGCCTGGCTGATCTGCTAGTCTCTGATAAACATCACAAGATACAACTAGTTCTAAATTTCCACAGTGTAAAATATGTTAAAGTTGTAGAATTGATATTTTGGAATTGTTTGATGTAGTCATGTTTCTAAAATGTTTAATTGCTAAAGTATTGTACGTGCACCACTGTTCAATATTTGTTATGTACTATAATGTAAGTAAACTCTTGTTTTTTAAAAAAAATATATTTTATCACTTTCATAACATAGCATAGTGGAAAATTTTTTTCCCTATGATAGCATTCACTCCAACTGAAGAGAGACTTTAAGTCCAAAATGTACATTTTGGAGAAAAGAGATATAGAACAAGCAATTATTTATTGTGACATTGTCACAATGCTCAGCTGCAATTTTTAATTTATTTAATTTAAAATATATGCTCTCCACCTCAAATTAGTAATGGCTTGCCCTGAACTGTACATCATACTTTTCCTTTAACAATAAATATATCATCTATCTAACACCTTACAGGGGAAAATTTTTAATTGAAATAACATGTCTTCTGGTTTGCATTGGAAGTTCATATATAGTTAATTGGGGCCTCCTGCCCTTAAGTTTTCCATATTCTAGTCTCAACTTTCATCTATCTAACTTCATTCTCAAGATTAATTAAGTAACAACAGATGGATGACAGTGGGAATTTATAGGTCTACAATTTTTTCAAATTGCAACCCAATAAAGAATATCAGTGTGTCAACCAGTTTTCTGTAATGTGATTGTCCCTTAAATATAACCATGTAGTTATTGTACCTGTGAAGAAGTAAAGTTTTAGATTTTGTATTTTTATTTTTCAAATACTATATCAATTTTAAAAAAATTCTAATAATAAATATGATTTAAGTTAATAATAATCAAATTCTAGACTTATCAAGTTGTATAATTAATATATTTTAATATTAATATCATAATATAGTTGATATAATTTTTTTTTCTGAAATTTTTATAAAACTATTTAATAAAATAAAGACAATAATTTAATTATATCTTCAGTAAATAACTTTTATGCTTAAGATAATGTATTTGTAATTCATAAAACTTTTCATAATGCTTTTTTGTTAATAAACCTGCTTTACTTTTGTAAATTATTTAATTTTGTTCTTATTAAATTGAATTTAAACATCATAAATTATTTTAAACAAAATTTACAAGAAATGATTTAGTTTCAAATAAATTGAATATAAACATTGTTTTTATTTCAGTCATTAGAAAACTCTATGTTGGGTTTAAGAATTGTTTGAAGTCTTAATGAATTGCAGCATCATAACAAACTTTATGGTCTACCTTCCCTTGGTGCTGTCACTGGAGATTAGTGGAAGATGCCAAAAAAAACTACTGGACATCATGTACATTTGACTCAAAATACAGACTTTTATATATTAAAGAGGCGTATAGAGTCTATCTGCTTGAGACAGACAATATAAAAATTATGAACATTCCTCTGTTGGAAAAATCAAAGACAGAAAACAGCAAAATGGCCAGGTTTGTACATCACAGACAAGTGTAATTGATCTTTCAAAGGCATGTTATATTCTGTTTTGCTAAAAATCTAATGGAGTTTCTTTACCGGCTCGTGCCTTTGCTGTGATCTTAAACATAGCGGATTCATGCACAACTAAGTTGTTCGTTTATGTACTTTACGATTTAAATTTTGTTTTTGGAAATTTTCAGTATTTAATTGGCTAGATTGTTTCTGTTTAGTTTATAATCTATAGGGAATGTTCAAATGAATGAAAATGTTGGTATTTATGTAAAATTTAGGTTGCTTTTATAATTTAAAAAAATATCTAATTTCTCGTTGTTAAATGAATCTACTAATTGAACTTTATCTGATGCTTATTGATCATGTTTAATGGATATGTAAAGTAAGGATGACAATTGATTTTTCAGGATTTGATATATAAGTAACTATACTGTGTTCAGATGACAGCATAAATTTTCAAGCCATTGCCAAATATATTCAAAACTCAATTTTCAAGTGCTGTATTAAAAAAATTGAGAGTAATTGTTTTCATATACAAAATGACAATTTGAAAACAATTCTCGTAAATTAAAAATTCATCTTTAAAACAGTTAATTTATCACGTAACTTTAATTGCCTGAAATTGATTTACATTTGTTTTGACAATCGACCAATGGCCAAATGGGCAAAAGTTACTGGTATGATATATTTGCTTCCATTTATATTATATTGTTCAGATGAAAGAATTGTTGATGTGTTGAATTACAAATGATAGTTTTCATCAACTTGTAAGATATGATGAAAAATAAAGGGTTAACAGTTTCTCGATTGTTTCATTTTCATACCTTCATAATCGTAGACATTACAAACTATAATTTGATTTTATTATAAAATCTCTTATAATTTGTAATATAGACTATCTTTGATGTAAACAACAAAATTGACTAAAAACAAATCACAAGTACTTTGATAATTGTCACATTATGATCTTCAGGCGAATTAACAGAAAATGAATGACAATGATTCATATTCAAATACAATAGACCATGGATCTTTAATTAATTAATTTTATTCTGAGAAGGACTAGGTGAGCCGCAAAAGACAAGTCTACCAGCCAGTCAGCCAATGATAGTCACCATTTGTTTTTTAATTTCCGAATAATGATGGTTTTAAATCAATTAAATTTTTAACTGCTCTTTCAAAAGAATGTCATCAAAATTGGGGATAAATTTTGTGGCATCCAATATTAAAATCTTTATATACTGTATTCGTAATGATGATAATCATTAAAACAACACACAATATTTGAAGACTAAAATGCAAAAATCTGATATTTTAAATAGGTTTTTATAAAATTCATTTGAACTTTTCAAAAGTTTAACATTTGACTAGTTCAAAGGGTACAATGATAAAAGGTGTTGATGAAAATCTTTATAGTAGGTGTTTGTATTTTACAAGTGAAGTAGTAGACGTTTAACATTAAAAGTAATAAAACAGAGATAAATACAAAATTTTCAAACTAGCGGCACTAAGTGTAAACTATTTTAATGCCCTAACTAGCATGGTCTAAGATTCTGAGAGAAACGTTGGAGGACGATTGCATGGATACCTTATAAACATCAGATTTTTCTAATAGAGTTGGCCCCTATTAATCTCCACGCATTGGATTGGGATCTTATGGCTAAAAACGTTAATTTGCCAGATTCTCTGTTCCATATTTGGGCGAGGTAGAATGAATGATCTGAAATCTAATTTGTCAGCAGAATTGAAATTTTAATTATTATGCTATGAATTTTGCGTATTGCTAGTCAGGAATTATGTACAGTAACGACTATAAATTGTGTAAGCACGGAATTGCCTATAAGTTTATATAATGTAAATCACACTCATACGTGATTTACATTTATTGATACTTTTAGATTACTTTGGATTGATCAAGAAGTAAACGCTAAACCGACATAATAAAAGTACTTAATTCAATATTGAATTCCAAATATCGACTAGCATGCCTCTGTTCGTATGTAATAATACAGTGATATGACTGGTACGATAGATATATTTTAAAGGAGAAGTATGGTGTACAGGGGCAACGCAATACTAATTTGAGGCGGAGCTCATATATTTTAGTCTATATAAATTAAAAAATATTTAAAAATTGCAGCCCGGCATTGTGACGATGTTTACAAAATAATTGCTCGTTAACAATAGAAACGTTCAATATCAACGAAATAATTAATAGAATAATTTGTCTACTCAAAATTAAGATTGAATCCTGAAGNTTTAGTCTATATAAATTAAAAAATATTTAAAAATTGCAGCCCGGCATTGTGACGATGTTTACAAAATAATTGCTCGTTAACAATAGAAACGTTCAATATCAACGAAATAATTAATAGAATAATTTGTCTACTCAAAATTAAGATTGAATCCTGAAGTTTAATATAGGCAAGTATAAAAATTTGACTAGTATAATTGTCATCTTTGCATGGATAGGATTGAACGTAAATAAAGGGGCACTAATTAGGGGGGTTGTTTTTCCCGAAATTTTAGTGGAACCAAACTATTTTCTGCTAAAGCACACAAGTACCAGATTTTAATTTGCTATTTTGTACTAATATTTTTTCAACCTTTTTCTTTCTATTTGATTTTTCCCCCTTGCTTTGCCCGAATTTGGGGACAGTTGCCCTTCCTGTACCCCGACTTGTATACCCATGAATAAGAGAAGCCGAATGGACCCGATAGCCAGTAATTCTACATGACTTTTAAGTATAAATTGAATAAATTAAATTATAAATCAATGAATTCAATATTAAATATCTATTATATATAAGGGTGTCCTGTTCATTCAAAGAGCGTAGGAAAATCCAATACGAATTTTAAATGCCAAAATAGTTTTTATAATTAAAAAAAAAACAGAGAATAGAAAATATAACAAGAAATCAAACCAATAAAATAGTCGGATTAACACTTGTTGACGCCTTAAGCGATAACATATTTGGAGAGGAAGGTCTTAATTCTTAAAATGTGAGGCCTTAATTCTTAAAATGTGAGGTCTTAAAGTTTTTTGCGTGAAATCCTAAGCTGTAGTTAGTTTAGCGTACGAGTAAATACTTTAGAAGAACAATATGAACAGTTAAGTGATTTTTTTTACACAGACAAATTTTATTTTTTAGCTGTACTGTAGTGGGTATTTAATGTTGTTGTGTGAATGTTTTGTAATCTTTTGGACTTCTCAAAAGGAATGAATTGCACCGCAGACATCGAAGTAATAGAACCATCGAAAGACACAATCAGCTGTTTAGCGTTTACTCCCATACAAACGCAGAATTTCTTAGTTTCTGGAAGTTGGGATAACGAAGTAAGTTTTAATTACAAAACGTCAATAGAACATGGTATTGAATTTAAAAATTTTTTCAAAAATTTAATGAGCAGTTGCGATGTTGGGAGATTCGTGACGATGGTTTGTCAGTTCCTAAAGCCATTCAGTTTCATCAAAAACCAGTTTTGGATATAACGTGGAGTTCGGTAAGTCGATGAAGAGTTACTCACATTGCTAAATAGGGTGGTCCAAAAGTCAGTTAACCAAGATACGTGTTTTTTATACCCATTGTGGGTTCGACCAGGTTCACAGTGGGGTGGATACAAGACCGTGCGGTAGATTTTCTAAGTATGATGCAAGTCTTCGAAATGCCGCCCCTTATATATATTATTAGTCTTATATAGGTTATAATTCTTATTATTTGGTGTATCTTACCAGGGCCGTGCGGTAGATTTTCTAAGTATGATGCAAGTCTTTGAAATTCTACCCCTTAAATGTTTTTTATGTCGCCTTATGCGGCCGCATCTCTGCATCATAGCACGGCACGGCCCTGCCGACATATGTGGGAGATCGCCCATAAAAAATTCTTGGGAATTGCTGACCTGGATTAAAATTCCGAATCCCTCAAAGCTTTAGGTTAGGTTAGGTTGACGTCTTAACCGCTTCGGTAATACGATCGTCCCGTCGCTCATACTGTTATTTCTGGATCACGAATTTCGGTTAAAGTTTTGGGCCAATCTGATTTTCTGGCATAAATAATTTATTAGAAGAGAAAACTAGAATGGATGTTTTACTGTTCTTAAATATACATGCTAACACTTAAAAATCTTAGGATGGAACCAAACTATTTTCTGCTTCGTGTGACAAAACTGTAAACATGTGGGACTTGAACACTAATAAGTTAATTCGTATTGGTCAAGTGAGTCTATTCCATCCGTCCATTATTATTATTATTATTATTATTACTTTAATGAGAAATTTCGGGAAATTTTCAGCACAAATCTCCTGTCAAGACCGTTGACTTCATCACTTCGTCTCGTTATTCGTGTATTATGACAGGAAGTTGGGACAGAACTTTGAAGTTTTGGGATGCGAAGAGTCCGAATCCAATTCACAATATCGATCTTCCAGAGAGATGTTACTGTGCCTTTGTTGTGAGCATTTTGTATTTGGTATAATGAATTGTTTATGGAAAAGTTTGGCACTCTGGGGAGGGCCGAGGTTAAGTCCGGGGGAAATTTTTGGGGGTGGTGTGACTGGACATATTCTGTTCCCGCCTCACATCACCCAGCCGTTTCCATTGTGTCAATCATGGCACTAAAAAGACCCTCCTAGTACTAATGGTGCATCATTTTATAAGCAAAAATGGCAATTGCCCTTGACCCCCTCTTGGTGGGGCCCAAACCAAACTTTTATTATCTCATTACTGTAGTAAAAATATCAAAATTTAAATTTGGACCACGTCTGGGACTGTAGTTTTCCGGTGTGGCGCAAGCGCAGGGTCCACTATCGCAGCACAACTTAACCCACCAGAAGTTTAAAAAATAACGAGGATACTGGGAGATTCCCCAAAATTTCCCCCAAAGAAAAATGAAGTCAACACTGTACATGGGGGCCCCTAATTTAAATTTGTTTGGGCCCCATGAAGCTATAACGCGTCACTACTTAAAGCCTACAGGGCAAAAAGAGTTAAAAATAAATATATTAGTGATTTCATTATTTTATTTATGTCACTACAAATATTTCGAAGGGACATATACATATATATCAAAGTTGTATATAATTATATTTGTTAATATCAATGCTGGGAGTAGGATTCGATGCGAATTATGCGAAACTTTCTCCATTTCTAGAAAAATAAAATATTTACTTGAGACATCCAAATTGTCTTAAATAAATAGGGAATTTTCCTAATTAAAACAGAAGTATCCAATGGCCGTGGTTGGGCTGGCGGGAAGAACGATAATTGTATACGATTTGGAAGGAGGTTTCAAAGAATACAAACGAATGGAATCCCCTTTGCCGTGTCAGGTAATCTCAACGCATCCTTCTAAATTCGTTCCAGCGAACCCCAAAAAAATATTAATGACTTTTTTTTAGATTCGCTGTCTTATCGGTTTCATTAAAAATAATAAAGCTAATGTGATCGTGGGAGGTGAAATCGGTGCCATCGCTGTACAATGCGTAAACGCAGACAATTGTGGAGAGAACTTTTATTTCAGATGTCATAGACGTGAATTCTGTAACATGGTCGATGTTTATCCGGTACGAAAATTGTTTCGTTAATTCTAATTATTTTATATGCGATAAAGTAATAAGTGTTTGCGAAACCACTAGATAAACGGATTGGCTTTGCATCCATTTCACGATATTCTAGCATCAGTCGGTTCCGATGGCAGATACGTCTTTTGGGATTTGAATGCTCGATGCGCTTTACGAACATCGAATTTTTTCGATCAGTCACTGACCAGTTGTTGTTTCAATTCGAAAGGAGACATATTTGCATATTCTTTAGGATACGATTGGTCTAAGGTGAGTGCTTTTCGTTATCACATTATCTGTACGCGCGTGTTATCACGTTAATTAAGCGTATTCATTTTTATAGGGTCACGAATACAATAACAATCGTCGTTCTCGTATCTATTTACACCGAGCCACTCAAGTTCCTTTATCTGGAATTAAAATCTGATTTGTTACTGAAGAGTTTTCAAATCTTTTCCGGAAAATGTTATTTCGTTGCCAGAAATCTTGCACTTTGATACCATATTTAAAATTTTTAAATTAATTTTAAACATAATCAAATGTAATATTAATAATTATAATAAAAATTATTATTTAATAAAACGCATAACTGATGTCATAAAACGTTTGTTCAACTTATAAGTGGGAACTAAAGTCATATACCTGCTAAAAAGTGTAGCATCCAGGTTTTCTTTCGAGTATGTGTATTGTGCTTGGTGCAGATTCGAGGGTTAACCCTTCATTTAACCATTCTAAACATACTTAATTTCAATTTCCGGCTGTTTATATATATATACATACACAGGGTGTATCAGAATGACGTTTTAAAAATTTGGGGGATTGTAGAGGATGAAATTTTGAACGTTTTGATATAAGGAACCCATAGCCGGAAATGTGTTATAAAATTTCTACAGCGGTAGGAAGTGCTTGACCGCACTTCACTTTGGTAGCTACCCTTCTGTCCATTGACGTCATGTTATCGTTCTTGATTTCTTCCTCCGAGGTTATGTAAAGTCCCTTGTGTACGCAACACCTGTAGGAACAGTTCATGAGCTTATGGAGCGCATCTTTACAGCATTTAATACCATCAGAGGGGAGCGTGGCATCTTACAGAAGGTCGGACAAAACATGGTTCGTCGTTGCACATTATGTAAGGAAGTTGGTGGTCGTCACATTGAACATTTACTCTAAAGTAGTGCAGCCACTGATTCGATGTACAGTTTGATTGTACTCTCTGTTTTGTCAATAAAACTTGTCATAAATACTGTATTCTGCTGTTTCATTCAGCATACCGACTGCAAAGTGTTGTAGAAACTTTATATCCCATTTCCGGCTATTGGTTCCTTATATAAAAACCTTCAAAATTTCATCCTCTGCTCATTAACACAAAAAGGTGGGGAGATAGAGGGTTGTCGTGTCGTATCTCGAGAGAAATAGGACTTAATGAAGATGATGTTCGTTGTTAACAATATTTTAAAGTTGAAAAAGACTCTAGACTAGGGAATTCGATCCCGGTCCTTATTTCTAATCCCGGGATTTCGGGATTAGACTTATTCAATCCCGGGATCCCGAGATTATTTCGGTATTGAGGGTTAATAAAAAATAAGAAAATCTTACAGAAATCAAAAATCAAAATTTAGACAAAAATCAACGTATTTTACGGTATATACCTAGTTAAAATAATCACTCTAACTAATCAGACTTAGAGTCAGACTAACCAGACTTAAAATCACTGTTTCATGTTAAATTTATTCTTTTTTAAGCATCACTGACATCTCTTTAAACTCACATAAATTGAAAAAACCTTTATGTAACAAACTATGCAAATAAACCTTGAAAATTAACAAAAATCTCTCTTAACATCGACTAAATAGACTACTTTCATATAACAACCTAGTAAGTAGGTAGTAAAGTAAGTTTCTTAGCAAAAAGTATTTAAAAATAATATTAATCAGTCACATTTTTCTTAAATATAAAGAAAACTAATCTAATAGGAACATTCTAATTTGAATTGCGAAAATATGATCTGAGAAATAACAACGCATCCAGTGTCTCATCACCAAGTCTGCTTCTCAATTTGTTGCACATATATGCAGCTGCTGAGAAAACGCGTTTAGGTTTGATGGAAGTTGGAGGAATCGTTAGTAAATACTTATAAGCTTCGAGGACACGGGGAGGATGGAAGAAAACAGTCCGGTCGACACGGATCGGGATTGTAGGAGTAAAGGCTACAATCCCGATTGTTTCGATCATTGTAAGCATGTCTTTCTAAAAATAAACGCGTTAATTTTGTAAATTCGGTCTCTGTGTGAGTCTCTCAGCGTCCAGCAAACCACTACCCCGAAACGTAAAAAGACTTTCTCGCATCATCCTGACAGATCGCGGGCAAGGCGAGGGTCGTAACCTTTTCACCTAAGGTCGACCCCCCTAAGCGAGAGGCGTCGGGTCTATATTAACCACACTGGCAAAACAAGATGGCTGACACATTGACAGGTAAAACGCACTGAGTAGTGCTCTCGACTGCGCCAGAAAATCGATTGGCGCCCGCGAAAATTCAAAAATACAAAAATGAAGTATATTACCAAGTAACCCAGTGAGAACTGCTTGCCTATCATTTTAGTTGAAAATACAAGAAGTTTTATTCCAAGCAAGCATCGCAAGCCCGCTAGGTTAATTTCTGCTGCTTGCTTGGAATAAAATTTCTTGTATTTTATATTAAAATGATAGGCAAGCAATTCTGTTAAAAGCACTGGCACTGAACGTTTCGCTTCATGCAGTCTATTTTGCAACTTTTTTTAAAATGATGTCAATCCCGAAAATCTCGGGATTAGGAAAACTTAATCCCGAAAATTTTGGGACTGAAAAGTGGTCGGGATCCCGGGATCAAATCCTCTACTCTAGACATATAATTTTACCAACGCCATAAATAATTTTCAAGATAATGTAATTAAGTTAATACCATTTGTTATTGAAAGAGATGAGAATTTTTCTATATCAGTAATTTAGGAAATTATTGTAATTAACGTGAAATTAATACAGGAAATTTTAATTCCTGTATTAACTAGAGGCAATTATTGCTTTCCTTTTTCGATAAAGATAAACTAATAAATTAAAATTAAAGATTTCTCATTTTGTAAATAGTTTGTTGAAAAATGGCGAAGAATCTAATAATAATCAGTCTTGCTTTCTTATTATTATTTGTTTGGGATTCAAATAATGTTGTAACTAGTATCCCCATAACAAATTTCGAATTTGGAACTAGAGAATTGTGTAAATAAGTAAATATTTCTATCTTTATCTATATTAATTATATTACAAAATAACGAATTTTGTAAAAAACTTTTACATATTTTGTGTATTATTTTATATTAAACATTTCTTAATATAAGTAGCATATAGAAATTTTAAAAATTAATTTGATTTACACGTTATTCTTTAATTTATGTGCTTACGTGTAACTTAGAAATTCTTTAATTGATTTATTTGGATATTCTTATAAGCAGATAAGGAAGGTATTATTTTTTACTTATATGTACAGCACTTTTTTTTTAAACTCTTTCCGCCCTGTGGGCACTAAGAAGGCCTTTTAAACAACTCATTATGGTATTGCGGCTCGATGGCTGAGCGGGCCGTAAAATTAAGGCGGCAGCTTACCGATCTGGGGAGACACGGGATCGAAAAAACTCGGGAATTTTTCGGATATGTCGGGTTCCATCCCTCGCCACTCGCTGGTCCGGCCGAACATATAATTGGTTTGCTAAAAAAGAGGGCGTTCTTAGTGTCCATAGGACAAATTAATTGTTAACATAATGTTGCTTGTTGATAAATTGATAACCGAATCGCCGATTTTTGAAAATTTAAGAGCCCATTTATGTAAACCAGCTCCAGAACTTTATCCAGTTATCGTTATTTGCGCATTTGTGTTGGTTCGAAACTTTTTTATATTTGTCAGAATGTAATAGCGCAGTTATGAAAAAGTGGAACAGTTTTAAAATTGATCGGGCAGCGGTATAGACCATCTAAAAGCGGGACGTTTGGTCATCTTACTTTAATGGATACGAGGGCCTCTTAGTCCTCATAGGATGAAAGGGTTTCATTTTATTTGTTTACGGCAACGCAACACATGGGCGATCTGCCTAGGGGGATGACTTTTTAAGGGTAACAAGCCCCTACTCAGGCATCACAAACGGGAGAAAACCCGGAAAACAACTCCACGTGGCCAGGACGGGCTGGCCACGTGGAGTTCATTAAAACTAGTAAGATCGGGTTCCGACAAATTTTAGGTTTTTACTGTAACGTAGTTATAAAGGCAACAATACTAAAGACTGCATTCTTTAGTGTGAGATATTTATTAATAATTAGACTGTAGTATGCATCACATTAATCAATAAATTAAGCATCTAGATATTTATTCTTACAGAATTAATTTTGCTTTTGTAGATGCAAATCTATCGGATGATGCCAATGAATATATCTGGAAATGTGTCATGACTTATTACTAAGTAAGCTTTTTATATAATGCTACTTTTTGTCAATGTTTTTATTAATCTCATTAAAAGAATATTTAAGTTAAAAAACATTATGGCACCAGCTTAAAGTTAAATTCTTTGTTTTGTTAAGTTACGGCAACGCAACACTTAGACGATCTGCCTGGGGAATGCCTCTCGGGAGATCTTTTTAAGGGTAACTGGTTCCTATCCAGGTGTTATAAACGTGGGAAAAGCCCGGAAAACTCCACTTGGTCAGCCCTCCTGGCCAGGCGCGAACCCACGACCAGGGAACGGAACCGCTTGGCCACTGATGGGCACACGAAATTAAATTGTGTGTGATCCTATCTTTAGATGTTATTAAAAATAACTTTTACATTATTAATTATTATAAAAAGGTAAACAGGGCTTAATTTTTAAGATAAAGATAAGTTTTTTTTAATATTGTAAAAGTCAATAACGAGTAAAATTTTCATTAACTCCAACCCTACTCGAGATATTACACACGACCTCTATCGCCTCATCCCCGTTAGTTCTGTTCTCCAAAATTAAATAAAATCAATGCCCTTTATTTACAAGTTATCGTGAAAAATTTCGTTTCTTAATCTTTATCCCATCATGAGATATTAAATGAAAAAGATGAGCGTGCGTTGGCGTAATTTTTCCCCGTTATTTTGGCCTTTTGGGATTCAGGGGCATGGCGATTTAAAAGGAAAAAGAAAGTCAAATTTGACACTATCACAATACTTTCCCGTATTATGTTATAACAGCCAGGAAAGTAAAATGTCGAAAATCCATGATTTAGAGATATGCAAAACATGAATAGTATATTTCTTTTCTTTTTTTTTTAACTATTTAAAACTTATTATTTTATACAGAACAATTAATTTATATGAGAAAAATTGTTTCATATTTCATTACAGCCTTTAACTGCATTCTACGATTGCAATTGATAAAACAGGAACGCATACTTTGAAAGACTATTTGAAGAAGTTTTGTTCGTCTCCTCGTTTATCATATTGGGTAATTTTAAATATTTTTGTTTTCATTAATAATTTGACTTATTATAACATTAAAAATTAAAGCAAAGAGAATTAAAGGGACGATTAGTTAATTTTTTAAATCAGTGCTCTGTTACATTGATGATAGGATGTGACAATGCTGGTCACAAGTCCTACTTGACTTCCAGATTTTTGCACTTTTTTGTTACTTGTCGATTGCATTTTTTCACGCGAACGATTAATCAATCATTTATTTCATCAGTTGAAAGTAAAAACCATAGAAAAATTTCTCACTTAAAGTAAATTTTAATAACGCAAATAANAAAATGTCTCTATCTACTTTCAGCAATACCAGTGCAACTGGTTCAACATTTGTCTCTAGTTGATTCTAGCAACGAGCGAAGATAGGAAGTCGAAAGACCAGTTAATCTACCGACTCTGGCCTGGCCGAACCCATAATGGGGCTGCAAAAAGATGCTCTTTTAGTGCCCACAGGAGGGAAAGAATTAAGTTTTAATGATATTTAATGAATTAACACAAAAATGTATTCGTTTAGTATGAAATAAGGTTAAATTATTTTGATATGACTGTCTGTTTAAGACATATTTAAAAAAAAATGTAATAAACTTAGAACTGTAAATACAAATGATGGAACTATAAAAGATCTACGAATGAACGAATTATTTCATAATTTCAAATAATTATGTTTTAGCCGGAGTCGGAGTCGGAGTCGTCAAAAAATCCGCCGACTTCGACTCCCGTTTACTTACCAACTTGTTATTTATATGAAACGGAGTCGGAGTCGGATGGTAAGGAAAAGTCGGAGTCGGTAGATTTTTACGCGACTCCACAGCCCTGCTTAAATCATAAAGAAATGTATATTCCCTAACTAATTCAATTAATTTCTCTTGATTCATCATTTTGAACAAGCACTGTCTGTGCGTGTCGACAATGGCATTCATACTAACCGCGCCGACTCCCGCAGACATGTACAGATACGAGCCGGCACAGACAGAACATTCTCGCAGACAATGCCAACCGGTGCCTGCCCGTGTCTGTGCGGACACGATCCGCTCACGCGCGGTATATGTAAATATGCCCATAGAAAATGTATGTAATAATATTTTTATGTCTGTGCTGTTACGTGTCTGCCACGTACGGTGTCCGTAAATAAATCTCACTACAGGAAAAAAAAAAAAAAAAAAAAAAGCCGGGCAGTATTTAAAGTCAAGAATTTTCTCGTACAGCAGGTGGCGCTAATTTAAAAATTTCTTGTCTGGCGGCTAAATTGAAGTATTTTGTCAATTTAATACATAAATAAATCATATTTTGCAAAACGTGAGTAATTACTGGTAAATAATTTTAAAAAATGTTTAAGTAAGTTATAAGTAGAGAATAATCCTACGTATTGAATTTCTATACACTTAAAAGGGTTATTATTTTGCGTTGTACAATGTATAGAATTAACTGTCGAGCCAATAATACAATACAGTGGGTGATCGGTTAACGAACAGTTCGGACTGCGAACACTTTCGCGAAAGTTTTTTATGTTCGGACAACGAACATGTCGACATCGAGCTCAACCTGATACTTATCGAATATTCTGCCGAACTTTGAAACTCTCCTTTGTAATTCCAGCCTTTTCTCGGCAAGAAAGCAGAGTACCACCCTCTGTGCTTTCTTGCCGAGATCACCTGACAGCGAGATGTGTATGAGGGTTTTTCCACTGCAAAATTGTAGACCCTCACTGTAGATTGCAATGCAGACAAAGGCAGAGACATTGAACGAAGGAGGAGATTGGTGGAGCAACATGCTGTAGTCGTTTGGTAGATAGGCTGATCTGTGCATTAGAAATAAAAAATTTTCTTTGGATTTTCTCAGCATTTGGTGTGGCTGAACTTAGGTTTGGTGAATCTGAAAGTGATACTCATGGCCTCCGGAACCTCTCTGGCTCTCGGCAGGTTTTCCAGAGGTTAGTTTTTTGGGAGTTTAGAGCTTTCTGGCATTCCCTTTTTGTTTTTTGTCTTCCCTTCATGAGTTTTTTCTAGTCAGTGCATTTTCTTACCCTGTGTTGGCATCATTTAATAACATCCGTCTCCTGGGCGTCATCGCTAGTTTGTTCTATTATCATTTCCGAGGCTAGAGTCTGTAATCGGACTGCATAGGTTTGAACGTCCCGGTCTTGGCATATCTATTTCAGCCGGATGATTTCTGGGTCATCTCTTCTCTTCCAGAACTGAACAAACTTCAGTTTAGTCAATGAGGGCTACCTTCTTAACAACCATTCACAATTTTTTTGGAGGGACAATGCCTTAAATGACACTTCTCTGCTCCTGTGCTTCCCCTTAATGTACAATACTCCAGATTGGAGTTTTTAATCCTCAAAACTCACAATTTTTCAACTGTTGATGCGGCTCTTAAGATTACAACTGTCAACGGGATTCTGGTCTCTGGATGTTTGGCTCCAGACAGCACCAGGACTGTGTATCTCATTTGCAGTGTAGCCACCTCTATTCCCATACTGGAAATTTATGACCATTTGAAGGGTGCAAACCTTCCGATCATTGAAGTTCATTGCTTCACCCGGAAAGACTGCAAAACCATCTCACTGAGGAGTGCTCAGTGAGATGGTTTATTTCTCTGTCACGAGAAACTATTCTGTAGAAAATGTCTCTATCTACTTTCAGCAATACCAGTGCAACTGGTTCCTTCCCCGTCTGAGGATATGTGCCTATTGCTTGTCCTTCAGACACTCTCCTAAAACTTGCCGTAGTTGCCACTGATGCAACTAATAAACAGACATTTTATAAATTTTGGAAACCAACTTTAATTAAATCGAACTTTATAAAATCTCCTGTGCCCTGACTGGAATACATTTTAACCAACAAATGGAGAATATTACTCGAATTAAAACTAAATATGAATTTGGAGTGTCTCCCTTATTTCATAAAAGTAAGAGGGATGACTGGATTGGTCAATATTTCTGGCTGACTGCTACAAGTGTAAATGTTTACAATTTGACTGTGCTGTGATAAAATGTATTAAATACTGTAAATGGAATTTTCCAGAGAATTGTCCCAAAAGTAGTTATGCCTCTGCACTGATGATGAATTTGTCATGGGCAGATGTAATAGATACTAAGGTCTTTTTACATGAACTCAAAAGTAGTGAAATAAGAAGAGTAAGGTCAGGAACACACATGTGTAAAATTCGGCATAAAATCTAGCATAAAACAGAAAGTGTAAAAATTTTTCTGAAATTTTGGCTGAAACATAACTGAAAAAAGAGTAGAGCATGTCTCTATATGCCGTAAAATTTTTATGCCAAAATTCTTCCAATAAAGAGAAGTCTGTTTTGTGACATCAAAGTAGACATGTGGTTTCTATTCTAAAAATGGCAGCAATAAGGTTTAACCCTATAATTGTAACGGTCTCAAAGAAGAGAAAAATAAATGAAATAGAGGAGTTTATCGAATCCGTTTGACCACATCAGTGTCTTTATGACATAAAAAGTGTCACATATAAAGACACTATGTTTAAAAAAAGCGTATAGGTGCTAAATTTCAAATACAGGTAGGTTATAGAATTGATATATAGTATTTAGATCACACATTCTTTATTTCAATTCAGAATACAAGTCTATTAATTTAAATTTTCTAAATTATAGCAGAGGCAGTGGAGAAAAAATGGAAGGTACAAAAGGATATAGATATACGAGAGAAAAAAATTAATAAAATTAAGCACTTAGTGGCAGTGGTATTCTCAATCGTTAAACTGTAGTTCTGGAATCAACGAATTATTAAATCCATGTAAATCATGCTTTTGAAATAGTTTCCTAACCCACTAGCATCTCTTTTGGCATTTTTTAATAAAATCATTTCTTAAAATCATCAATGATTAAGTGGAATACAACCATCAACAAATGACAACATCAGATACCAATGGTGCCATTTTACTAAAACTACATATGATGTACATTTCTGTTTCCTATTCGGTCAGAATTTTTATGTATGTGTGTTCTGGCATAAAAGTGTAAACAGAAACTGAACTGAAAGCTGATTCAGTTTTCTGCTACACAATTTTATGCATGTGTGTTCTTGGCCTAACAGAAAATGAATCCTCTGCAATAGACCCCATGCTGTGCTGAAAACAAGAGGAAACTGGAAAGATCTTGTGGATAAGCTAAGGAGATAAGTAGAACAAATCACACACAGACAAAAGCACATAAATTGCCTTATAACAAACCCAGAAAACAAAGAAAATTCTAACTTAAAAGATAATAAAATGGAGACTTCTCCCAAAAACCTTATTAAAAGAATAAAAATTAAATTTACTCCAAGACTCAAAAATCAGGAATAAAAAAACAACTACAATATACCACCCAGTTGTGAAGTTACCACTACTAATAAAGATGAAATATTAAATTTTAACTCTGAATATGAAGACGATAATCCAAGTCCACCCGGCATGAACATTGTTGAATCAGAGGTCATGATAGTCCCTCCAGAGTGAATAACAAACAAAATTCTTTTAGTAAACATCAATGACTTACTAAAATTAAATAGAGATTTTTCTTCATCATCTTCTAACTAATAAAATTGATATAGCACTAATCCAAGAATCAATGCTTTGTGAGAATAAAAATTTTCATCTATTTGTTTATAACACTGATAAATTTTATCAATGCATATGGTCCTACAGAAACATGGCCAATGAAAAGATAGTGATTTTTATCAAACATGACATTAACATCTTATACCAAACACATCACGATTATGGCCACTTAGTTCTATGTGATATAGAAGATCCACATGGAAAATAGAGAATCATTTCTATCTACTGCTTGTCAGGAGACCTTAAGGCAAGATACAATTTTATCAACATCCTTGATTTTTATTTAGACTCAACTTACATTATTCTTTCAGCTGGTGACTTCAACTTGTCTGGAAAGACATAGATAGAATAAAGAACACCTGCAACAAAAAGAAAAGTAAAATTTTCCAGATCTTAAAAGACCAGTTTGACTTAGACATCCAGCATAAAATGAACCAACCCACATAAATGTGAATTTACCTACCACCTAAATAACTCCCATTCCAGGTTGGATAGATTCTACATTTCCAGTCACCTCCAACATGTTACATCACAATGTGAAATCATCCCTAATCATTTAACAAACCATAGTGATGTTATTCTAATACTTGACTTTGCAAAATGGAATTGCAAACACACACAAATTAACCACATCCTGGAAAATGAATGCTAGTTTACTGAAAGATATTGTGTTTCTAATTAATTAATTAATGTAAACATAGAAAAGGAAAAACAACTTCAAAAGATTACAATGACAGTTAGATGAGTTAAAGCAGAAATATAATGACAAAACCTTAGATCTAGGTAAATATCAGACAGCAATTTGTAAAATAAAATTTATTAATGATACAACTATAATATATTTAAAGAGCAAAATTGTTTTGATGCTTTTGTTATTATTATAGGTTGCAATTTGAAATTTCTGTATCACAAAGATCCTGAATTATATGAAGTGAAGAAACTTAAGTGAAAAATGCAATATAATCTCAGAAGCTTTCATTAGCTTCTGAGGATATGCATTTCGGACAACAAGTCCCTTATCAGTTCTCTTTTAAGTTATACAGTCTTGATAACAGAAATTACATATGATGTATGTTATAGAAAATTGTGACAACTGGATCAAATATTTTATTATATTTTATACAGGTATTTTTTTGTACAATGTCCTTTAAATTTAAAATATGAGTTAAAAAATTCTGTAATGATGATAAGATTCCATTTGTTTTTGGAAGCAAGAGAGTATAAAGACTATAATGTTTTGAATGATAGATAAATATTTTCATAATTAAAAACTATTAACATAAACTAATTTTGATTATAAATATAAATCTTGTAACATACCACAAAGTATGAATTCTGAATTACATAATTATTTTTATTTTAGAAATCTAAGAGAGAGAGATTTTTTTTCTATTCTAACTTTAGAATAATCATATTTCAGTGACTGATCTAATACTTAATCTTGTTTTGAAAAATCTAATTATCTCAAAACTCCAATATTTTGAAATATAGTTCATCAGAAACGCTTTACTTTTAAGTATCCTAAATACTAAAATAGTTTATGCAAATAATTATTTACTACAATATTTTCAGTTTTAATATTTTGCTAGATGTTTAAAAGTTTTGTTCATTACTTATTTGTTTCTGTAATACCTTTTTTGTAAAAAATTTAATTTTCTCTCCATATGTATGTACTGTAATATGTAAGATAAAAGGCTTGAAATGCAAGAAAATTAGAGAGAATTTTGAGAGGAAGCTGCATAAGAAAGGTCCAACAGACAAGGCTATTTGTGAATTGTTGTGATGGAAATTGTGCTCTGGGAAGCAACTTATCACTTTGAGCTGTATAGTGACATTGATGGTCATCATGTGGAGCACTAATTTTTTGCAGTATATATTTTGAAATAAATATATTTTTCATGTTTAAATCAGTTATTTGTAATTCCAATTATTAATCAAAATAGATAATGACTTTTGAGACACCCTGTATATATGTATATTAGGGGCATCCAAAATGTTTCCAGAAAGTGGTTATTATTTGTGAACAGAATACTATAGGGTATTTATAATTCATTAATGTGAGCGTATATTTGTTGATACTAAGTTTAAACTTAAGAAAACTTCATGCAGCGCTAAGAGAAAAAGACCTGGAAAAATTCATCATTGCATCTTGTTCCATCACTGTAATGCACCAGCACATTCTGCAAACTCTACCAGGGCAGTATTGTGTGAATACTGATGGGAGATTTTTCACACACCCTCTTCCTATAGTCTAAATCTAGCTCATCAGACTTTTCTTATTCCCAAATTTATAAAAAGGCATTTTCTGGCAGTCAAGCGAAACATTTCATAGTGCAATGGCTAGAATCAAAGGACACTGATTTCTACCAGATGAGCTTAAGGTTGGTGACACCATATGGAAAAATGCTTAACTTAAATGGAATAAATGTTGAAAAATAAAGTGCTAAATTCAATTTTCTGTCTTTTTATTTACATTTTTCAGGAACTTTTTGAATGCCTTTTATGTGTATGTACAGGTATATGATATAGATTTAAGCAATGAAATTTATTTTTGAAAATACTGTCATTTTTATGCATTGAAAATGAATGATTATTTAATTTCAAAATAATTTATAATTAGATACAATGATATATCATATTTTCTGTAATGCTTAAGTATTACTATAATATTTTTCATATTCATTAGAAAAAAATAAAGTTTTGAACTACTTCAATGTATAGAGAATTTTAACTAAAATAATAATTAAGAATGTTTTATTTAGATGCTAGAATGTTTTTTTCTTTCAGATGTATTCAAATATTTAATATCTCTCTTTAAAAATTTTAATTTTTGATATTAACTGTACTGTACATTTTTTTATTTTTAATAGTTTTTAAAAAGTATGGGAAATAACAAGACATTTACCCATTTAAGTGATGTAAACAAGCAATGGGAGAAGTTAAAGAATGAGCTACATTATGAAGTAAAGAATATACAAAATAGTAAACTTTCTGAGATATGTTGTTATGAAGAAGAGAAATTTAAAAAGGAATTAATTGGTATGACAATTAAATACAATTGTTTATTTCTATTTAATTTATTAAACTTAAATATACAAAATTTATTAGTGTGCTGTAATTTATTTTTTTGTTTTCAATGTTTTTGAGCTATTACTAGATCATTTTCAAGAGATTATATGATGTAAATAAATGTTACTAGCAACTTGGAATAAAAGAAATATTGTTGTTAAACTAAGTAGTTTAATTGAAATTTTCTTAATTTTACATATACTGTACTCCACTGAATTTACAGCAACTGATGATCCAACACTTCTTTTAATCTGGACAAAATTATGAAAGGGAACTTGAAATTCCTGTGACCACCAGACTTGTATACTGGGTGGCCACAGATGGCATTACGTATACTGTGCACTTATTTATATTATTTACACTGCACTTGTTGGTTATGATATTGCTGTTTTGTGATATTCTTACTTTATTTTGCTTAAATTTAACGTTTAACTATGGCTTCTAAGAGTCAGTGGTGGTGTTGGTCTGTATTAATCCAAGATAAAGTAGAACTGTTGAAAAAAATGGACTATGGTGTTTTGATGTGCATTGATGAATTATTATTATTATTATAAACAACCACAGTTGGTCAAAAAAAAATGATTAATTTGTCAAGGCTTTGGATCCAAGGGTGTCAGAAATTCAGTGGTGTATCTGTATAGGAATTAAATATTTTTATATTTTATTATTTTATTTTAAATACAAGTTGTTATTTTTAAATAAAGAACAAAAATTAGCACTGGAAAACAAGAGAGAAAATTTGAGTAAAATTAAAAGGGATGATGTCGATGAGGAAAAGGAAGACCTTGATAAAGAAATAAAAGAAGTAATTATTTATTTAGAATCTTTGAAAGAGAAATATAAAAATATAGAAAGAACTTTTGAAGAGAAAGTAAACAAAAACAATGAATTATTGAATAAATTGAAAGAGTCAAGAAAAATTGGAAAAGAATTAATCAAACACAAGTATGAATTTTTTAATTTTATTTATTAGTAGTAGTACAGTAGTATAGTATACTTGCTAATCTGAACAAATGCTAATCTGAACCAATTTTGTTGTTAAATATTCCAGCTGAATACAAAAAGAAAAATCATAGCTTATTTTCTAAAACATGAAGCATTTGTAAAATTAATATGTACTACACATTTTAACATAAATACCATAATTTTCTGCATGTCATCTATACCAACAATTTTCTAGTTCTGTTCTTGCAATGTTCTAACAATTTTCTGTATTTACAGAGAATTGTTAGAACATTGCAAGAACTGAACTTTCATATAACTTACATCATCATGTACTCACATCTCCAAATTTGCTGCTGAAAACATAACACTTAACTGGTATATAGTTTAGAAGATACTGTCTCAAACATTGCATTTTTCTCAATTTCTTTCATTTTATTTCCATTGGCAATTCATTGTAGATGTAATTATAAAATAAGTGAAATGAAAAAAATACAATATATAAGACAAACACCTAAACTACATTAAATGTTGAAAATACAAAATTGCCACTAAACAACAAAATTTATTATTTCATTTCTCTTTGATTTATCAAATAGTCTTAATAAAATGTGAAATGATAGGTAATTATGGAAAGTTTAAGTATGGTAATAAAATATATAATAATATTAATAAGAGAAAGCTTAACCAGGCTAAGGTTTATTGTTTAAGCCATCAGTGTTTCTTATGCAAAATGTTGGTTAGAAAAGTACTTAGCCTATAGCAAATTTTTGTTTTCTTTTGTACCTTTTCTGTCTTAAGCACTTATCGTACACTGCTCTAAAAATCACTTCCTAATTTCATGATGCCCTATTGTAAAAATTTGCAATATTTTTCAACAATATATTGTACAGCATTATTGAACTAATATGCAATTTCTTCAATAATGCAACTAGATGTTCAATTTATCATCTAATGAATGTTTTGGACTTAAAAATCAACTAAAGTGTTATTTCAGAAACCTGTTAGTGCTGTTTTGCCAAACTTATCACAATTTTGGTATATTATAACACTTTTTAATTACCTTTAACAAATTGATATCTGGATAACATATGTGATTTTTTTAATTCAGAAAGTATGGTACATAAACTTCAGTACTGTTTTTAAGTATTAAGTTAATGGGAAGTTAATTTTAGTTTTTATTTAGTACTTAAATTAATATATATATTACCATGAAAGACTGAAATTAGAGTGTCAATATTCTCTGGTGAATGTTGACACATACCAAATACGTTGGTGAAACACCGAATACAGTGGAACCTCGGTATACGACCTTAATCCGTTCCTGATTGTTGGACTTATACCAAATAGGACGTATACCGAATCAACTTTTCCCATAAGAAGTAATGTTAAAATGATTAATTCGTTCTCATGTAAAAAAAATGGCTGGCTTGAAACACCTCGCTTTCCTCGCTAGTTCCTGCTTGATTTTTCATGAGATCAGCATGTATTTTTGTAGCTTTCTCGCAAATAATTGCTTCTGATACAGTGTCTCTAGCACACTGTTTTTCAGTAATCCAAAGCAAAAGCAATTTCTCAACATGATTTAATGTCTTCGATCTCTGTTTAGAAATTGATTTAACCCCTTTCGCAACGTTAGCAGATTTAATAATGTCTTTATTTTTCACGATTGTCAATATCGTCGTTCTCGGAATACGGTATGCAACAGTTAAATCTCGAACACACGTGCCACCTTCATATTTCTCAACAATCTCTTTTTTCAGTTGTGAATCTAGTCATTTTTTTAGTTTTCTGTTCCTTTTCATTTGCCTTCTTGCAATTCATGATTAATAATAAAATTTTACTTAGAAATTAAAATCAGAAGAAATCTAACAAAGTTATAAACTGTGGCACCGCGAATGTCTAGTCTGGTCTAGTACACCGACAGTTGTTCATAGATGGCGCGTATAATTAAGTCGTATACTGAACAAAAGTCGTATACCGAGCAAAATTTGTTTTGTCCAAACAGGACGTATTCCGAATTTGACGTATTCTAAAGCAGACGTATACCGAGGTTCCACTGTATTTGGTTATATTATTATACATTCGAACCATCACTGGTATATGTCGACAAGCACTGATATGCTGTGGTGGAGGTCAAAATGACAAACCAAGATGACACAGCCAGAGAGAAGTGACAAAAGTGCCAAATCTTTTGTTCTCTCTTGCCAAATCCTATGCTGCGATTGAGGTCATGTGCCATTTATTTGTTATACTCAAGAACACTCTGCTGTTTGTCAGTCTTATGCAAGGCTTGCTGGTGCATGAAACATTTGCTTAATTTTTATTTAAGCTATAAATTTTATTTAATTCTAAATTTACAGTAAAACCCTGCTTAATGCTGCCTCACTTAATGCTGATTCGATATAATGCAATCTGCTCAAAGCCTTAAAAAAGCTCAAAATTTACAGATTTCCCTTAGTAAAAGTTTGGTAATGATATCTGAAATCATTGATCAAATTGTAGCGAATGATCTAGATTTTGAAAGGAGTGCAAAAGCAAAATGAGGTGTTTTGGATGTGATCTTTTGCTACTGACATTTGCTTAAGGAAAGGAAAAGCGACAAATGAAACATCACAACTTTATTGCAAAAAAAAACAAAACAAAAAAAAAAACAAGAATTTCAGAAAATTCAGGACCTTTGTCACAAAAATTGAACTATTAATATAGAAAAAATGAACTAATTAATACAGTAGTAAATCAAGATATGAAATTAATCTGTTCCTAAATTGAGATTGTATCATGAAAATGTCATAAGGTGAATCATTTTTCCCCATATGATTACATGTGTAACCAAATATCCATTCCAACACGAAAAACACACTCAAATTAAAACTAAGTAGTACATTGAAAAAAAACTTTAATACAGATAACACTGAAAAATGCATTTTGTAATTGTAAATGTATAAATAACCATAATAGAATAATAATTGATAAAAACAATGTAATTTTTTTGCACCTTTTAGGATAGATGATGGTGGAGGTGTAAACTGGTGGCGGAGGAGAGGGAGAAGGGAAATGATACTAAAACTTAACTTACATAACATAATGTAACAATAACTTAAAAATAACTTAACACTAATTTTTTTATCTTTTCTGTTTTATATATTTTTTTTTTATTCACTGCTTTTTGCTTTCTTTCNAACCATAATAGAATAATAATTGATAAAAACAATGTAATTTTTTTGCACCTTTTAGGATAGATGATGGTGGAGGTGTAAACTGGTGGCGGAAGAGAGGGAGAAGGGAAATGATACTAAAACTTAACTTACATAACATAATGTAACAATAACTTAAAAATAACTTAACACTAATTTTTTTATCTTTTCTGTTTTATATATTTTTTAAAATTTTTTATTCACTGCTTTTTGCTTTCTTTCCTTCACTTCCACCAGCACTTTCACTGGATATAAGTTGCTCGGTAAAATATCTATCCAAAGAAGTTTGGCTTTGCCTACTTTTTAAAATGTTTCTAAAATGACTTAGAAAATGTCATTAAACTTAGCAGCAATACAGCCAGTTTGAACCTTTTCGGGATGTTTCTTTTCAATAAAATCAGTCACTTTCTGAAAGATTTCTTTTATCAAGCAAGATCCTTCCATGACAAAGCAAACACGCGAACTGAGACCAATGAACGGAAGGAACACATGATCATGGCAGTGGCGGTGTGAACTAATGTAACGTCGTATGGTGAGGTTTTGTTTATACCGTGGAGCAAAAATATGTTTGAATTTCATGTCATATCCTGAAAATTTTGTATGCTGAAGTGTTCATATTCTGAGGTACTACCGTATATTATTATACATTTCTGTGGGCAATTAAAATGCCTCAATGTCCTTGACTTACTATAATATAAATTTTTGTCTACAAATACATATTTTCTAATATCAGGACTTATTATACTGGCTTTACAGATAATGCTACAGAGTTTCACAGAAAACAATTTAATATACCTGTATATTAAATAAAACAAAAAATTGTCTTCTGTGAAACTCTGTAGCATTAGCTGTAAAGCCAGTATAATAAGTCCTGATATTAGAAAATACGTACTTGTAGACGAAAATTTATATTATTTATGTGTGCATTTTGTTATATAACATATTTTTATATTCATTTGTATAATAACTTAAAATTAAAGTAAAATTTTTCTATTTTCAGTTGCATGTTCCCCTATCTCTATTTACTCTATGTTAAAATGACTTAGTTTAATGCTATTTCATTTAGCGTTTTGTCGTCTAGGAACACATCCTTCATGTTAAGCGAGTCTTACTGTAATTTTATTTAATGCTATAAATTAGGATATACCCTAATTTATATTGAATGACTACTGCAGTGAACCATGATCTTTTTTGAGAAGTTACGTGCATTAAATGAGAAGACAATTGTTTTTATTTTTCTCAAGAAAAGTACTCTAAAATAGTTTCTGAAGTGATTTCTGCTAAAACTAAGTGCAGTACACCTTTGGATTACAGAGGATTAAAACATTTTGACAATTTAAAAATTAATGATGAAGAGAAGTTAATTGTGCCATTAAAACCAGAAGAAATGAATACAGTAATACCTCGACTTACGCGAACTCGGAGTTACGCGATTTTCAAATCTCGTCGATTCGTCTTTTGTTTGAGCGCCATGCAACTCTTAATTACTCACTCCCCCAACACTATTGTTCAGCTTACATGTTCGGACGTGCCGCGTGGAATCGACACATAGCTACAATTTATTTTGAGTTATTTTTTTCTGTGTTATATCTACAGAGACTTGAGAGACAATATGTGATGATTTCTTGTAACTGTGAACAAATCAAAAGACGAGATAAGATTAATGAGAACATTTATTAGCTTACATACATCCGACTTGGATTTTACATAAATTGTGAAATTATACCCTGACTTATGTGAATTTGACTTACGCGGTTATTGCTCGGTCCCACCTATCGCGTAAGTTTGGGGTATTACTGTATACAGTATTATGTTACCAATAATGAATTGTTCAGTATACTATCACATCAGAATAGGCCATGGAGGAAGAACATGTATGCTTAAAGAATTGCAAGTTAAATACAAAAATAATACATATGATGTAGTAATGTTGTATTTAAATTTATGTGAACAATGCCAAATGAAACATAGTGCACCTAAAAAAGGTATTGTGAAACTAATGGTCAGTTCGGAGTTAAACTCAACATGTCAAGTCGATCTAATAGACCTGCAGTCACACAGGGATGGCAATTACAAGTTCATAATGGTTTATCAAGACCATTTAACAAAGTTTGTCCAGTTACTACTTTTAAAAACTAAGACAGCTGAAGAAGTAGTGTATCACCTTCAAGGCATTTGGTGCCCCAGCTATATTGTATTTAGATAATGGTAGGGAATTCAGTAATTGAGTCATATCCAAACTATGCACTATGTGGAAAGATGCTAAGATAGTTCATTGAAAGCTTCATCATAGTCAAACACAAGGTTCAGTTGAAAGAGCCAGTCAGGATATACAAAATATATTAACTGCATGGATAAATGATGGAGATACAAATAAATGGTCAGATGGTTTTCCCTTTGCCAAGAACACAAACAAGACCATACCATAAAGAATACACCAAAGTCTTTATGAAGTCCTGATTGGCATTGGTGTTAAACCAGAAAGAGGCATAGCATCATCATCTTTGCCTGACGAGCACATTGCAAATATTGAAACCGAAGAACAGCTTGAAGAAATTGTTAATACTTTTGAAGAAAATTTGAGCAGAAACCATATTCCAAAGGAAAATATTGAAGAGGAGCTGCAACCTACCATGTCTTCATATCAAGCTCTGACTGAACAACTCAAGTTTATTTCTATAAAAAGAACGACTGCAAAAGAGAATCTTCTACTGCAAGTAACGAAAATGCTATGAACCTCAAAAAGAAAATTTCTTCCTGCTCAAATTGGTGATAGCGTATGAATACTAGTTCCTGATGTCAACCGTGGTCATACAGATGCCCAAAATGTGTTGGCTGTTGTTGTTCGAATAGAAGATTCTTGACTCTTATAAATTAGCAAACAAAAATAGTACCCTCAAGCAGATTTATTCCCATAATCAGTTTGTAAAATTTGTAAGAAAAGTTACTTTCCATAGATGAGATTTCTTCTCAAGAAATATTGCTGAGAGAAGCAGCTGCAGCTAATTTGAAGTGGAGGGCAAGGCTATACACACTGTCATTGCAAAAAGAAGTGTTCCACGAATAAATGCAGTTGTAAAACAAGGGACACTTGTGCAATTCAAAGTGCCATAACAGTTTAAGTTGTTGCAATAAATAAGATTGTATAATGTTAATCACATAATTTATGTGTAAGTTTATTATTCGTATTATTTTTTTTTTCTAATTTAAAATGTACTGTTTGTTTTAGGTTCAACAGTATTTACATGTGCTGTTACTTAAGTTTTCTCCTATTTTGACATATATCATATATTAAAAAGTTGCATTTTTGTCTTAATGTAATAAAAATATTTTTATTCAACATTCACCATCAATGCATGCTGAATGTCGACATTGGCCAGTGTAAGCAAGAAATAATGGTATTTAGCAAATATTTTGTTCATACACCAAGAGACTGTGAATGCCGATATTCACCAGAGAATATTGACATTTGCCAGATATCGGTCTTTCTCAATAACATATACATAAATCATTTGGTTTAACATAAAGTGCTTTGAATAGTATTCAAAGCTGATTACTACTAGAAAAAGTTTACGTTTTTATTAAAAAACAAGTAGACAAAAGAAATAAATCTATCAAAATAGTATGTAATTGAGAACCAAAATTATCTTCCCATCATCCAAATAGATTGGGAATATTGTAAAAAAATTTATGGTATAAATTAATTTACTTATGTAAAATAATTGTTTTTTCACATTTCTTTTAGAAATGAAATTGCCTTATATACTCTTCTGACAAATATTAGATGGATTTATAACAGTAAGCCGAACGAACTAAAGGGCCGTATCCTTTTTTTTTTAAATGAAATATATTTCTTGAGTATTTATTGTATAATAATGATCATGATCTGAGTTTAATAATGAAAAATGAATAAATACACAGAGGTGCAGAGTATTTTTAGGACCAGAAATTTTCCCAAAAATAATTGCAATCAAAGTAAAACAACAATTTAAGAATAAATTAATAATTATTGCTATGTAGTTTGGAAAATTCAAATTAAATAAATCTTCCGTAAAATTTGCCACCCAGCACTAAAAAGAAATTATCAGAAAAATTTTTTAATTAAAAGGAGGATGCATTAAGTGTGTATCATCATTATAATGTACAGTAGAATGTACAGTTATAAACTTGATGTAATACAATGATTAATGGAAATAAAATTGAAGTAGATGCTAATGTCACAAATGACTACTTTTAGAATGACCAATAATAATAAGACTTTTTGACATCTAAAAATACAATATTTCTCTATGATAATGACAATCATGCAATTGTTTTCTGAAAGGTTTTTATATTTTTGAAAAAGTTGGTACATTTGTTAACTGTTTTGTTAGCATTTTTGACTTTCATTATTATTATTTGAAAATGCAATCTTATTTTTATGATGATTCAAAATATATTCGATATTAATATTTTTAATTTTATACTAAATCTATGGAAAAATATGAAAAGTAAAGGAAAATAATGTTTATAAAATGATGATAAAATTTCTATTTAAGTATGTAATTGAGACATTTTGGTAAAAGTTTTTAAATGCAGTTTATTAATATGCAAATTTTGTTTTTGGGTAACGAATGAATATTCCGTTTTAACTCAGGCTGATACAAAATTTCATCTATTAAATAAAGTTGAAAAGCATTTTGAAATAAAACTGGATTTTCTTTTTTGTTCTTTTTAGAGCTCTGTATCAAATTCGGTTTTTTAAAATTGAAAACTTGGTTTGATAATGGAGAGGGACTCGGCCTTACTGTAAACACTTAATCGTGTACTTTACATAGGCAGTGATGTAACCAGTGACTGAATCGATCAGAAACAAAGTAAATGACATTTCAATTTCCTTTCTAACACACACATTTTCGTTGTGTTTTTGGCAAATATTTCCAATTAATGTCTACAGGCTTTTAGCTGAGACGGTACTCCATTTAATCATAATGCTTTTGCAGCTATTGTTATAATGTTAATTTTCTACCTTGTTTGTGCAGTCAGACATATTCTGCACCTCTGTGAATCCAATTTAATTTTATTTCCACTACATAATGTTTAAAAACATCAAATTTCACAATAAATACAAGATCCTACTAGGAAATAACTTACATAACTTCCATAACTTACAAGGAGATCCTACGGCTTTGGGGAAACAGATTTTGATGATCTTTGGTGTAGAGGTAGTACACCATGTGAGTGTACTACCTGTAAAATACTAAAGTGCAACACTCAAATATAATCGAGAAAAATGAACTTAAAGTTTTCTTTAGCTCTTTATATAAAAGTTATGCGTACTTGTGCTTGAGCATGTTGTGGCATGAGTGGTAACACTCCTGATTCATACGCTTGCGTGCGATTCTCTTGTTGTGTATTTTTTTTTTTATTTTTTTTTTCATTTTTTTTAATTCATAAATACTTATACTTATTTATTTGTTTACTCATTCATTTATTTCTTATTATTTATTGAGTTTTTTGGTATTCTTTTTAATTATTTTAATTTAATTTCTACTATTCCAAGTCTAATATTTTTACTTTGTAAACTCATCTTTGTCAAGTTGGGAGGGAGCTACTTATGCCAGGTTTGAACATGGGTCTATAGTCTTTTTCACTCACTCTTTAACAGTTTGTTTCTGAATTTCGACACAAATAGAATGATAACTCTTTATACAGTGATGTATTGAAGCAGCGGCTAAAAGATGGAGTAGTGTATTATGAGAGTTTACTTTTTGAAATTAATTTAATTGCAACAACATCTTCTGATACACTATCTGAAGATGCTATGCTGATAGGCACAGAATTATACAATAATACATTGGATGTGTTGAATGAAAAAACTTTATAATTGATGATGAATTGATTTATGCCCAAGAAAAGTGTACAGAAGGACATTTCGAAGCAGTTAAAGATGACTCATCTGATGACCATGTACCCGATGAAAAAAAAATATAGAATGAAGGAATATATTTCACTGGAATATAAAATCAAAGTTTTAAAAGTAGTAAAAGCCCATCCTACGTGGAAACTACAAACATTACAAAAAAACATATGTAGTCATTTGAAAAGAATGGATCATTTAAAATTATGGGAAAAAGATATTGAACGTGGTATAATTATTTTTGATAAATATCGTTCAATTGATTCTTGGACGTATGACCACTTTGTTGAAATGAGACAAAATTATCAAAAAAAAAACTAAATAAACAATAAGAAATAAATGAATGAGTAAATAAATAAATACATTATAAATATTTATGAATAAAAAAAACGAATAAAACAAAAATACACAACAAGAGAATTGAACCCAAGCATGCAAGCGTATGAGTCAGGAGTGTTACCACTCGCACCACAACACGTTAAAGCACAAGTATGCGTAAATTATAAAGAGCTAAAGAAAACTTTAAGTTCGTTTTTCTTGATTATATTTGAGTGTTGCACTTAAGTATTTTACAGGTAGTACACTCACATGGTATACTACCACTACACCAAAGATCATCAAAATCCATTTCCCCATAGCTGTAGGGTTGCCTTGTTAGATAATTTTCAAAAATGAATAAATAGAAGTGAGTACAATAAAAAATATAGTCAGAAAAATTATAGTAATTTTATACTTATGGTCATATTTGTAACCAAGGATCAAGAGTTAGAGGTAAGTTAACCAATAAGCATTTGCATACTAAAAAGTAAAGTGATTATTAATTGATAAACTTTTAACTCATGATCCTCAGGTGCAAGTATCAGCATTATAGCATAAGAAAATTTATTTAAAATTTTAATTTTGCTTCAGTCTTTTATGTAGTATTTAAAATTTTCAAGTTCTTTCTCTAGTCAATCATTTGTCTAAGAGGACCATCAATGTGAAATCAGAATAATTAAATTTGGTTTCATATTTTAAAAATTAATAATTACATTTTCTCTGTCTCTGCTCTCCATTGTAGTATTTAGTTAAATTTGATTTTAAGATTTTTAAGATCATGCTTACATTATTGTTAATATCACTAATATACCTTATATAAATTGTATTTATATTTCATAGTTACTATGATAATTTTAAACAATTAATTTTTCACCCAGAAATTAAATTATTTTCTTAGATTTGAGAATGCTTCTTTTTAATTAGTAAATGTCCTTACATAAACTTCCTGGGAGGCATTTTCCTTGGCAGATTACCTTCAAGTTGCATTGCCATATACAAACAACCACTACCACCACCGAAATCTGTTTTGTATTTTTTTTTTTTTTTGTTTCAATTTGAAAAAATTGCAGACATAAATTCTGGACATAAAATAAGCTTTCCATATCTATCTTGACTTTTGTCTAGAATTCTCAAGATTAAGGAAGGACAGACAGACAACAATCTGTCCTTCCTTAATCTTCAGAATGGTGTTAGATAGACAAAAGCCGAGATAGATATGGAAAGCTTAGGGGGTAGGAGGCCCCAATTAACTATATAAGAAATTTCAATGCAAACTAGAAGTCACATGATTTCAGTTCAAAACTTTTTCTCAGAATAGTGTTACATAGATGGCTGGCATGACAGTTGTTGTTGTCAGGAAAAATATGATGTATAGGAGTAAGACACTAATAATTTGCGATACAGAGTATATATTTTAAATTAAATAAATTTAATATTGCAGCCCAGCATTGTGATTACATCACAATAAATATTTGCTCGTTTTTCATTTATTTTCAATTCTCAGATAAAAATTAGTCATATGTAACCAAATGATAGTTGTTTTTATTAATCATTAATCAGGATGACTATCATATGTTGTAATTATTGAATTAAGGGAGAATAAATGTTTGTGCATTCCACAGTAACATATTAGTAATGCCTTCAGTTGTAAAAATATCTTATGCTATTACTTTCAAGCATTGGATGTATTGTCAGTTGTAATCAGATCGACATCTTCCTGGGTAGCATCTCTATATCTTTTCTCTGGTTCATTTTGTATCTGCTGTAGTTTCTATAGAGTAAGTCATAGTTGTCTAAAAACTGCTTTGTAAATTCTTGGTTTAGTTTTGGTGCATAGATGCTTGCTTATTTCTCCAGGTAAGATCATTTGGGTATCCTTTTTGTTTCATTACTTACTTTATCTTGTATTCTCCCTTCCCACTTGAGCTCTTGCTTGAAATATTTAAATCTTGAAGCATAACTAGACAAAAATATTTCATGGTATGGTTTATGTCTTAATAGTTTATTCTGTGATGACTCTGTCATACATCTATTTTAGATTAAGTTAACCTAAGCATCTCAGCAATATAGCCTAAAAATTTTATTGTCTTTCAATAGTTTGTCAAGTTGATTTAGTAGCTTCTTTAAGTTATTCTCGGTTTTGGACATATAGCATAGCACTTTTAATTATAATAATATTCATATCTTAGTTGATAAAAAATTTGTATGAAACATGTCGAATAATGAGCTTAGAAACAACAAAATATTAGGAATAAAACAAGGTGACTCACTATTGCTTTTGGTTATATATTTGCTATTTTGGTATATTTTGCCAATTGTTTGTATTAATTTCACCAGTACATGTTTAATTTTTAGAGTCAAATGTTTTTTCTAGATCTATAAATTTCTGTTAAATTGTGTTTTAATTGACAGAATATAACGATGTCATGGCATTATTAACTAACTATATTCCTTACAATCTTCTTAAAGTAATTTCTGTGTACTTTTCTGGTAGATTTATTTACCCCCTTTTTATAACAGGAATTGGTATTTCATAATTCCAATCATCGAGCACAATTTTGTCATGTTTTGTCAAAGGGTTCTTTCAAAACTTTGGCTATCATTATTCCTCCATATATTGTTAGTCACCAGGACAAGATTAACAAATGAACTGTTCTTTAATGATTTCATGTTTCCAGGATTGTGGCATGCTCGATTACTATTTTTTTTTGTTTCTGTCCAATTAGTTTTGTGGAAGTCTGTGTTGTTTGGAATTATCTGTGTATAAATTTTAAAAATAATATTCTAGTTCCTCCATTCTTATGATCAGAATTTTCAGTAGCTCTTTTTTCCTTTGACTCTTCATTTGTTTTTGTCGTCCATAAAAATCATATTCCAAAATTTATAAAAGTCTAAAAGATATTTATTTTAGAAAAAACTGCTGAAATAATATTTCTTTTTTTTTTGTTAGTTTTTTACATTTCTGTTTAACTGGGATATTTTTTTTTTTCTATGTTCCAGCAACTGCACACTGAATGTTTTCTTAGAGCAATCTATGCTTAATTAAAGAGTTTCCTTAAAATTGGAAAGTAGAAATATAAAAGTTTGATTTTATGTATTTTTTGTTTAAAAAATATATAGGAAAACTTAATAACTTATATTTTGTTAGTGATAGACCACGGTGAGTTCCAGTCTTGGCAAATGTTAGTAATCTTATCTTGCATAGTTGTCCAGTTGTAAGCTCTTCTAGTTCTTTTAGCAATAAACTTTAATGTTTAACAGAGTCGACTGCCAGCTGGTTTCTGTGATGTTCCAGCATAGTCAAGTTGAATGACATAATCCTTTCATTCATCCCCACAATGATAAAGGTGCAGGTAGGATTTTGAGGGATTTATACTTCTAAAACAAGATGTTTTATTTTAGTATTTAAGCAGGAATACAAATGTTTAACAAAAATTTTGCTTGCTATGATAACTTTCAAATGGTTATTATGGGTAATGATGGGACATCTGATGAAATTATAGTATGTTATGGTTAAACTAGATTTACAGACAAGAAAAAGTATTATAAATTTTTAATTAAAATTATTCTGATATATAAAAGTCTACATTTGTGATTTTCTTATTTTAGAGAGAATTTTCTTAGTCAATTTCTTATAACATTAACTTCAAATGCAACAATTTTTCTGCTAAAATTTTAAACTAAAACAAAATAATGACTCTTATGCTAATTAAGATGTGGAAAAACAAGCTACAAGTCTCACTTTGTTTCAAGATTATTTGATATTTAAGCTAATATCATAAATTATTGGGCTGAAACTTAATTACTTTCAGTTCTTGAATATTAGCAATGTAAATTCATTGAGTGAATGCGAAAAGGTTAATTTCTCGTGGTTAAATATATTTGTTTTGGAGAATAAAAGCATCAGTTTCTCAAAAAGGGTGGTTTCCAGAACTAAAAGTTCTTGCTCCTTTCTTTCATAATTGCATTCTGGTGTAATGTGTCTGCACTTAGATAAATAATGAGCAGACTTTGAAGGAGATGGCTGGATTAAACAAGGAAATAAAAATCTTAAACAATATAGTCAGTCAATTTTCTCACAAATTTTTATTCCTTCTGGTAGAATTTGAACGTTTTACCACTTAGACATAAAAAATGATTAGTGATAATTGGAAAAAGCTGGATTGAGGACAATTGGTCAGAAGAGCATATAAATCAAAACATGAATTTTACAGATGAAAGAAGAGAGAATTTTTTTCCTATGCAAAGTTTGGAGTAAAATAAACAATAAGGATGATTGATGAATATGCTGTTAAGTAATAATTTCTTGATATAAATAAATTAAATTTTTATTTTAGATGTATGTCTGCCATTTTAGTAGATCATTTCCTTAATTGTCAAATTAGTAATATTACAGAAGAAAGAAATCAAACCATTTTCTTTCAATTTGGAGACCGATTCGGAATTTTTTATCGCCAATTATTTGTGGGATCAGATAAAATAGTGTTCGTCATGATGATATTGTATTATTCTAACAAACATTTAATAAAACAACTTTCTAAACCAATCATGGAATTTTTTATTGTAACCCATATTTAAATTTTTATATAAACAAAAGAGAAAATTATACATTATTTGTGCTCTTTGTATTCCATTAGGTGATTATAAAGAGAAATAAAATTTTACATACATAAAAACGGTAAAATTGTTTTCGATAAGTGCATAGTGTGTATTGCAAAATCAAAGGACAAACAATTTATTTAAATGAAAGTATTAGTTTTTTAATATTAGAATTGTTTAGGGACAAGCTGTTGGTAATTTTATTTCCACTTGAAGGCCACTTATTAGGTTATAACAATATTTTTTTTTTTATTAGGGAACATCAGATTGAAACAAAACAATTAAAAAAATAATTATATACAAATAACATTTCTTTAAAATATCAAATAGAAAATAATACTTGACAAATTTGCACCGTAACAACTTTACATTTTGTTTTTGGTTGTGTGTGTATACATATATATTCAATATGACTAGGAAAAAAATGACTAGATACATAATAAACATAACAATATATAATAAAATACTGAGGTAATAAACTACCGAAATTCTGAACATGCTTCCTTATGGAAGTTCGTAAGGAGTAACAAAATTTTTTAATATTTCACTGTGTAACGTCACATTATAATGTGAAAACACCGATAATGAACAATAGTTTTATGAATAACATGTTCTTGTTTTTGACTGTTAACAGAACCAATAAAATGATGGAAGACAACATAAATCATTTCATTACTATCATAAATTCGTTTGGGATTTAATATAGACTAGCTTATATATTGTTTGTATTTTATATTTTACAAATTTTATTTTGGATACAGATATTTAATTTTCCATTACTTTCATTTTGTATTTATCTGTCCAATTGGAAACCTCAATAAAATTATTTACAATTTGACAATATAATAAATAAATGCTCTATGATAAATGCTTTGGTCAAAAATAAATATTTAATAATAATAATATTTATAAAATATTTAAAGAACACTAAAGAAATTTTGTCAAATAAAACAAAGTATAATCAAACCTTTTAAACGGACCAAGAGAATTTATGGAAAAAATCTGAACCGGAAAATTATTTACAATGTTTCTCGGTCTTGCATCATACATCTTTTATTCCCGGATCCTGACCCCCATGTGGACATGAATGGTTTCCATGATTTCCTTCACAAACCACAACGGGAACGTGACCGCTGTCCCACATGCCCGGTCCGCAGAGTTCGCACAATTTGGCTAAGGTACAAGGAATTCTTGGCAACAATCTGAACTGATGAAGAAGCCCTCTAGCCTAAGAGAGAGTAAAAAAGATTCGGTTACTCTATTAAATGTAGTTATTATTTATTATTTTAAAGCATCATTAGATTAGATTATTATTTACAAGCAACATTCTTAACTGACATAGTTTTAAATGGACAGTACAGTCATTGCATGTCATCATACCAATGTGTTATTCTTTGTTTTCCACAAAGCTAAATTTACATCATCAATATCTGATGTTACTTTCAACCAGATTCTTAAATATTCTTTTAGAAAATCATTGAACCTTCTTACAGCAATGCCAGTAATAATCTTGATTTCAAATTTTTAATGCTAAATAAGGAATAAGATACATGTGGACACTTGTAATTTCAGTTTGTATTTCAAATGTAATTTTATATTTTATTAAATGTTTAGATTCTTATAAAACAAAGCTTTTAAATCCGCGAGAGTGTAGAATGAAGGAAAAATACTTATTTTAAACAAGTTTTAATCAGATGTAAATTGGCAAGAAAATTTTCTGCTGTTAAAAGCAAAGATTAGTCATAATAATTAGCATGTATTTTCCATGCTTGAAAATTTATAAACTACAGTAGTATCCACTTACAACGAATCTGTATGGACTGTTGCAACTAGTTTGTTATATTGGATAAGAAAGAAAGAAAACAGTCTAATTTTGTAAAACTAAAGTTTAATATCTCAAAGATAAAAAGTAAATTATTACATAGGAAGTTGCCTGTTAAAACATCAATATAAATGCACACGGTTACTTAAAAAACTTAGTCAGTTTTGTTTGTTGATTATTGCTAGTTACATAGCATTTCATAATATATAGCTTTGCCTTGGCAAAACTATTTAAAATATTTTGCAGAGAATTGTGTTTTTCAAAACTTCAGAAATTGGAATGTCGGCACCACCTGCGTATGTAGTATCGTTGTCTATGTCTGTCAAAAGGTCACTTCTAATAACACAGTCATTAACCCTGACATTCTTCAAAATCATAGTCAGAAAATGCATCTGGTAACTGCAGAGGGAGCACATCTTGAACACTTTTTGTTTCATCATTTGTAAGTTTACTTTTTAAAAGGTTATCAGAATGTCATCATATAAATCAAACTTGATTCATTTGTAGAAAGCCAGTGTGTCGAAAACAATTTGCTATTGTTTGCACTGATACATTTTGCCATGCCATATGGATGAAGTTTATTGCATCAAGATTTATAGAAACAATTCTTCGTACTATTTATAGACGTTACCATTTTTTAAAGGAAAAGTTGTCGATAGCTGCTCTTTAAGCTGAGTATAACCCTTGTGCTTAAAGGCTGTAGTTTTGAACTTGTATTGTGTACACCAGTGTAATGCAATGTAAATTCTTGGTGTCGGGATGTGCCAAGCAGTTGTTGATCAATAATAAATTTTTTGTTTTTTCTCAGTTTTCATCCCGTTCTCGCAGTTCACCACAGAAAATGTCAGGTTAGATCTATAGTTTACCAGTAGCTGCTAATTTTTGAAACATCTTGGATTTTTTGATTTACCAATTACTAACAATTTTCTCTTTTCCATAAGAGAAAATTCCATCCCATAAGATTAGCAATTCTTTCTTTGCATAATTTTCCTCATGCACAGCTTTCTCCTTTGAATTTTAGCATCCTATTTGGTTCAAGCTTATAAAAAGACTCATTTCATCTGTGTTAAAGATATCAAAATCTTAGAATTTTTCTCTAATTTTTGGCCATTTATTTTGCAACCAGTCTTCTACCATGCCCATGTTTACTGCAGCTGCTTCTTCAACAATTTTTTGGCTTCCAATACTATGTACAATAGAACCTCGATTATCCGGACTAATTGGGGATGAAGGTAGTCCAGATAAGGAAAAATCCGGATAATCAAAACAAATACTTTAATTTGTCTTTTAATGANATCAGGACTTATTATACTGGCTTTACAGATAATGCTACAGAGTTTCACAGAAAACAATTTAATATACCTGTATATTAAATAAAACAAAAAATTGTCTTCTGTGAAACTCTGTAGCATTAGCTGTAAAGCCAGTATAATAAGTCCTGATATTAGAAAATACGTACTTGTAGACGAAAATTTATATTATTTATGTGTGCATTTTGTTATATAACATATTTTTATATTCATTTGTATAATAACTTAAAATTAAAGTAAAATTTTTCTATTTTCAGTTGCATGTTCCCCTATCTCTATTTACTCTATGTTAAAATGACTTCGTTTAATGCTATTTCATTTAGCGTTTTGTCGTCTAGGAACACATCCTTCATGTTAAGCGAGTCTTACTGTAATTTTATTTAATGCTATAAATTAGGATATACCCTAATTTATATTGAATGACTACTGCAGTGAACCATGATCTTTTTTGAGAAGTTACGTGCATTAAATGAGAAGACAATTGTTTTTATTTTTCTCAAGAAAAGTACTCTAAAATAGTTTCTGAAGTGATTTCTGCTAAAACTAAGTGCAGTACACCTTTGGATTACAGAGGATTAAAACATTTTGACAATTTAAAAATTAATGATGAAGAGAAGTTAATTGTGCCATTAAAACCAGAAGAAATGAATACAGTAATACCTCGACTTACGCGAACTCGGAGTTACGCGATTTTCAAATCTCGTCGATTCGTCTTTTGTTTGAGCGCCATGCAACTCTTAATTACTCACTCCCCCAACACTATTGTTCAGCTTACATGTTCGGACGTGCCACGTGGAATCGACACATAGCTACAATTTATTTTGAGTTATTTTTTTCTGTGTTATATCTACAGAGACTTGAGAGACAATATGTGATGATTTCTTGTAACTGTGAACAAATCAAAAGACGAGATAAGATTAATGAGAACATTTATTAGCTTACATACATCCGACTTGGATTTTACATAAATTGTGAAATTATACCCTGACTTATGTGAATTTGACTTACGCGGTTATTGCTCGGTCCCACCTATCGCGTAAGTTTGGGGTATTACTGTATACAGTATTATGTTACCAATAATGAATTGTTCAGTATACTATCACATCAGAATAGGCCATGGAGGAAGAACATGTATGCTTAAAGAATTGCAAGTTAAATACAAAAATAATACATGTGATGTAGTAATGTTGTATTTAAATTTATGTGAACAATGCCAAATGAAACATAGTGCACCTAAAAAAGGTATTGTGAAACTAATGGTCAGTTCGGAGTTAAACTCAACATGTCAAGTCGATCTAATAGACCTGCAGTCACACAGGGATGGCAATTACAAGTTCATAATGGTTTATCAAGACCATTTAACAAAGTTTGTCCAGTTACTACTTTTAAAAACTAAGACAGCTGAAGAAGTAGTGTATCACCTTCAAGGCATTTGGTGCCCCAGCTATATTGTATTTAGATAATGGTAGGGAATTCAGTAATTGAGTCATATCCAAACTATGCACTATGTGGAAAGATGCTAAGATAGTTCATTGAAAGCTTCATCATAGTCAAACACAAGGTTCAGTTGAAAGAGCCAGTCAGGATATACAAAATATATTAACTGCATGGATAAATGATGGAGATACAAATAAATGGTCAGATGGTTTTCCCTTTGCCAAGAACACAAACAAGACCATACCATAAAGAATACACCAAAGTCTTTATGAAGTCCTGATTGGCATTGGTGTTAAACCAGAAAGAGGCATAGCATCATCATCTTTGCCTGACGAGCACATTGCAAATATTGAAACCGAAGAACAGCTTGAAGAAATTGTTAATACTTTTGAAGAAAATTTGAGCAGAAACCATATTCCAAAGGAAAATATTGAAGAGGAGCTGCAACCTACCATGTCTTCATATCAAGCTCTGACTGAACAACTCAAGTTTATTTCTATAAAAAGAACGACTGCAAAAGAGAATCTTCTACTGCAAGTAACGAAAATGCTATGAACCTCAAAAAGAAAATTTCTTCCTGCTCAAATTGGTGATAGCGTATGAATACTAGTTCCTGATGTCAACCGTGGTCATACAGATGCCCAAAATGTGTTGGCTGTTGTTGTTCGAAT